ATAAGGGTTCTTATAACAGATATTGTCCTTCAACAAGTTCCTTAACAAGCTTCCTTAACAAGATCCTTGTTAAAAAGTAATTTCCTATAGGTGCAATTGGTCCTTCAGCAATTGCCGAAAATTTCCGAAATGGTCCTTCAGCAATTTGTTACCGAAAAATAATATTGTAAACCGTGTATGCAATAAATTGTTTTAAATTTGTCGTGAATAAGTTGTCTTTAAATAAATTGTATCTAAATAAGTTGACTAACTAGTCTCTAAATAAGTTGTCTTTAAATAAATTGTATCTAAATAAGTTGACTAACTAGTCTCTAAATAAGTTATCTTTAAATAAGTAAGATGCTTCACTAAACTTATCATTCTTGAAGTGTTTATTCAGCAAACTGCTATCGACAAATTTTCCGCGACTGTTTTTCTAGCAAGTTATTTTATAAATAATTTTCTTCAGCAAATTATTTCTTGATAAATTTTTATAAGAGCTATGTATAATCTTTATAGAAGTTTTTATTTATCCATCAAGTTGTCTTCCAACTCAGCTCACGTTCAAGTTGGCCGTGTGTTTCGGATCACCGAGACTAGAGCAGCGAGTTGGGGGCTCGACACCCGCAACTGGTTGTAAAATTTCAGTCAAAATCGGAGTTAAGAGCCAATGAATGTCAAGGATGACATTGAAAAGGGAAATGGACATTCATGAATGAGTCCAAATTCGGTTAACGAACTAAGGTTACAAACGCTCCGATGGCAGCATTCAAAATATATGTAATTTAATACAGTATTCAGTTCCGGAAAATAATTTTTTAATCAACTTGAACGTTATAGTATAAGATGAGACTATATTGACGCGCATAGAAAAATCTGCGGTATTCAGAACCAGCATTTAGATTACTGGATTCAGCGGAATCGTGAATATGATTAGTGTTATGTTACTTATCAAACTATGTCTCGTACTTAAATAACTTAATTTCGAAATGATTTAATACGTTGAGAAACTTTTTATTCAGATGAGATGCACAATACGACAGACACTCCTGTTAGCTCCCCGGAAAATAGAAAACTATAAGAAATAGGAGAGTCAAATTTTGTTATAAGAAAATTAGTTTTCATGCATTATGCTAAGTGCTCCGGTATGCAATAAATATATATTCATCATTAGAGAATAGTATATTACATGAATTTCCACATTGTTTGGTCTGCAATTTGTTGGAATTCGAATCGTTATCAGCGCTTATCATTTCACCGTCCATTTCAACCTATTATTTTATTATCCATAATTTTCAGACACATTCTGTTTAGGTAAAGTGTATATTGATCCATATAATTTAATAGCGTCACACAGGGCCTACTCGGAGACTACACAGCGCACAATTAGTCTACACACAGCCTACACACATCCTACATACATACAGCCTAGACGCAACCTAAAAAAAGTCTACAAACAGCCTACACACAGTGTACACACAGCCACAAAGTCCACACAACCCCACAGCCACACAGCCCCACAGCCACACAGCCCCACAGCCACACAGCCACACAGCCACACAGCCACACAGCCCCACAGCCACACAACCACACAGCCACACAGCCCCACAGCCACACAGCCACACAGCCACACAGCCACACAGCCACACAGCCACACACGTCACTCAGCACGGCGCTGTTTACGAGCCTCCCCTGTCGAGCCTGAAGCGCTCCCTACACCCAGAAAAATACATGGATCATTTTATACAAATAGTGACATACTTTCTTACTCACAGCACGAGCACAGAGCGTACGCAGCACTGAGATGCTCTCTCGCCTGCCCAAACCGGGTCAGAATGACCCAAAATGGGACCATATATGCATCCCTATCTTTACAAAATCACACTGATTTTCGTGAGTGTATCCATCACTCAGCGAGCGGCTCTCCAGCGAGCTTGTTTGCAGCCTCGGTACACTCAAGAAACTAATTGCAACATTCCCACATAAATGAGACACTGTGTTTGTTGACTCAGGTCGTTTTCTGTGTGTTGTTTGTTGATCTTTTGATATCTGATGCAGTCGAGTCATCGTGATGCATGATGCCCACCAGCCTGCATGATGCCCTCCAGCCTGCATGATGCCCACCAGCCTGCATGATGCCCTCCAGCCTGCATGATGCCCACCAGCCTGCATGATGCCCGCCAGCCTGCATGATGCCCACCAGCCTGCATGATGCCCACCAGCCTGCATGATGGCCATCAGCCTGCATGATGTGAAGTTCACTTCTTATTACATATTTATATGCTTCACCGGTTGATCAGGTGATTACACCCGTTGATTAGGTAATCACACCCGTTGAACAGGCGATTACACCCGTTATTGATCTGGTGATTACACCTGACAATCGCTTAAGTGCAGAAGTGTCTGCCGAGTTTGACAGCGACCATTTAGTCGAATAAATTTCCCGTCAGTCTCCACTATTCCATTTACATGGGAAATATCTTAAAAAAAATAAAAAAAAACAACCTCTTCTGTCATTTAGACGCGAGCCATCAAGCTCATTATTCCCCTGCACGGGGGAAAAGTTTAGGAAGGACCGAACATGGGGAAATATTTATTGTACCTAGTATTTGGAAATATTTATTGTACCGAGCAAGTTTCGAGTAGATTTGTTCAATAGGTGGATTTGAAAGTATCGATATTAGTTCAGTGCTCAGTCCTGCCTCAAATTGGGCGGGCAGTTGCCAGATGTCGCCAGCCATTCCAATTATAGTTGCCATATGTCGCCAGATCGCCCAGTATAGTTGCCAGATGTCGCCAGACTGCCCTGTGATTGGCCAATAGGAAAGCGGTTGCCCTCGGCAGCGTAATGACGCAGCCCTCGGCAGTTTAAAAGCCATTCGTCAATGTAATGACTTTGCATCTGTTTTGATGGCAGCAAAAAATACCGAACGTGTGAGGCTCATCTCTCAGGAACCAGAACAAAATTTGACGCTTATTTAACTTCGGCTCGCAAACTTCCTCTCAGAAATATGATTGTAACTTTGTCCAAAAAGCTATACACTTTACTGCTTTGTGTACGTCATCCTGATCCTGTTTGGCCCAGCAAAAAGGTATATCAGAGCTTCGTCCACACTCTGCCGCTCTGATGAGTAATAAAGTGTGTTACTATTTGTACAAAATGACGTATACATTTTTATGTGTGTCGTATCGCAGGCGGGTAGGCGTCTTGTGTTGACTTTGGTTTGGTGGTCACCGCGGGACACCCGAGCGCAGGTTCCGGCTGGAGGAATGGACATGATATATTTCTATGTATTAGGCCTATACCTATCGAAATATATATTCCTACATTGATGAAACGTAGGCTGTGCATCTGGTAAATAATTGTAGATTTTTATGGTTTTTGTTTTGGTATTGTTTGGCTGTATCGGGACAAAGCCGTATAAATTAATTAGTTATATTGATGAATTTTGGATTTATAAATTTAGTTTTCTTATAAAAGACAGGCTATAATTGAACATTTTATCAATAGCGAAGGTGCCTAATATACTCGAAATAAAATACACGGGACTCTCAGCTTTCAAAGTTTCTGTGTGTATTAAGGAAATTATTGAAGCGCTTACTTAATTAACAAGTTTGGTTAAGATTCAAAATAAACTATCTTTTCACACTGACGGCAGCAAGGCACATGATTCTCAATATCTTCCAGTTATTACTAGGCACTTAAACTTTAAGAAGCTGGAAACATGTTTTCATTATATTAATATTTTATTGTGTAATACGCCATTATAGAATCCTGTTATCTTGAATTCCGTCGTTCGATCCTCTCGTTCATAATCCTGTTAATAATAATCATGCCCATGTATGCTAATTATATATGAAAGACTCATTCAGGTTTTGAGCCAAGTTTTTATATATGAAAAAAATTAGTGTATTTCAAATTAATTACATAATTGAAAAATGTCAAATCAATTTCAGTTTTTAGAGCAAGTCTTTCCGCCAATCCTTTACTGCTCTCTCACTAAGAACTAATTTTCAGGGGCAGGTTATATCCCGACACTATGAATAATATATTTACAGCACCAATATTTTTTGCCGGACTTCAAATACACGAGCTAACACACATACAAATACATAACCACAATCACACAAATTAGACAATTATGTATAAGATCGATGAACTTATACCGCATTCTGGTCTTTTAACATCGAGTATTGATAGCAGTAAATATTGATATTAATATAATAATATAAAAATAGTGTGAAATATTTTAACATTAAAAGGATGTTGGGAATAATAAATCCTGAAATGTCATTTCAAACTACGCGGAGTCGAAGCTTCTTTGGGAAACATTATTTAGATTTCTTGATGTACATCTGATTTACATTCGGCATCTATGAGAAGAATTGTGCATAAAACAGGAATTAGCATAAGTCACACCGCTTAGCGAAATGAATGGTTCAAGTTGTCCAAATAGTGACACGCTTTCAAAAGCGTTTAAGTAATACGCTCTTTTTCTGGGAAAAAATAGGTCAGAATGACCCACACAAGGGCGAAATGAGCTTCTTCGTTTAGACAAACTTCCACTCATTTCTCTGGGTGAAGGCATTAGGATGAATTAGTCGCGGATAATTACTCGTTATTATATCGTCTCTCTACCTTAAAATTGTTTTTATTTTACTACGAAACAAATTTTAAAATGTTATCTTTTATTTGAAAATGAAATGAAACTTACTTAAAACATACATATTGGACAGGGAAATGATATCTATGCCTCGGTAAAGTGCAGCGCATTTCAAGCCATAAAAAGCAGTTGATGATCTTGTTCATTTCTCGAAGGCAGCTTATTAAGAAACGCCTCGGTCATTCCTACTGATCGCTTCCTTAGGAAATGTTGTGAAAATCTCGTGTTTTTGCGCCTTCAGAAGCTGATAGGTGGGCGGGCTGAGGGGCGGGCCGGTCTGTCAATGTAAGGGCAGGTCCGACACTCCCCTCTGAGGGTAGCCCGCTGTCACACCAGCAGTTGCAGTTGCCCTCACTCGCCGAAAGCTCAAGCGCTCCCGGGAGATTTGCGCGCTAAAGTTATCGTGGATTTCCTTCCGACTTGGGCTTCAGGCTTTTGTGTTATTTCAGTAAAACTTTAATGTTTTTTGCCATGCAATGATGCGTCAGTTTTTTTTTATATTTTAGTGTATATTGTAAGAACAGAATGTGAAGGGAAAAGTTTTCTTAATGTTGCATCCTAAACTGGTGAGGCAACAGAAAAATTAATTTCATATTCGTTGTAGGTGATCGTCTTTAACTCGTGAAAATCTAAAGAAATAATAGAAGAGATTTTCCTTAATAATTCACGTGCGGGTTTCGAGGCGTTAAAAGAACAGTGAACAAATTTTTAAATATTGTGAGTGGTGAAAAAAAGTGATTAAAGTGAGGAGATACTCTTGAGTACGACGCTTTCTGTCTCTCAAAAGTTTCCAAAAGGTATAAATATTTCACACTCATAACGACTAACGACTTTTGTTTAACGCGAATATATATCATGTATAGTGAGATATATTTTTTTACCGAACGCAAACGCCATCACTGAAATTGCAAGCAGTGGTGAAGCCCTCGGTCTCAAGCTCGTAGATTTTCGGGTCATCAGTTTTCGAAGTATTTTTTAAAGAGCGTCTTACCTCAAGAATCAATTAATGGAGGCTCAATGTTTCACTTCATCTTTCCCCTCGTCTTCCTCTCCAGCGATACCAGATTCCTCTGGGTCTCTTCCCTTGCAAGACCTCTGTCCCCGAGGGTCTCAGCCTCAGCAAGACCTCTGTCCCCGAGGGTCTCTGCCTCAGCAAGACCTCTGTCCCCGAGTGTCTCTGCCTCAGCAAGACATCTGTCCCCGAGGGTCTCTGCCTCAGCAAGACCTCTGTCCCCGAGTGTCTCTGCCTCAGCAAGACCTCTGTCCCCGAGGGTCTCTGCCTCAGCAAGACCTCTGTCCCCGAGGGTCTCTGCCTCAGCAAGACCTCTGTCCCCGAGGGTCTCTGCCTCAGCAAGACCACTATCTTCAAGACCCTATGCCTCAGCAAGATCCCTGTAACCAAGGGTCTCTACCTCAGCAAGACAACTGTTTCCTACAGCCTCTGCCTCAGCCAGGCCTCTACCACCAAAGTCCTCAGCATCAGCCAGGCCATTGCTCTTTGGGGTCTTTGTCTAAGCAAGACTATTGCCCCCGAGGACAGTTTATTTCCGAAGACCGCAACACTCAAGGACCTCTGCCTTCTGAAGACCTCAGCATCACGGCAGACTGGGCTAACCGTTCAACTGTTAAACGAAGTGAGCCATGCATGCTTTATGTATGCTATTGTGAGTGCTATAATTTATGCTATTGTGAATGCTATTATGTATATTATATATTATGTTTATGTATGCTATTGTGAATGCTTTATGTATGCTTTTATGTATGCTCCATGTATGATTTTATATATGCTTTATGTATGATTTTTTTAATTTGATGTTTGTGTGCAAAATAAAATATGGTTTCTGTATAAGAACGGATTCGTTACAATCGAATGACTTCTAAGAAAGAAGAGCGCGTTATCAAGAAACGAAATAACTTGGATATAGTAAGAAATTTTTTAACAAGAATTTGACAAAAAAATATTGAATATAAAAGCAAATGTGGGAATTAATTACGCATCTAATTGAAGCTTAAAGGTGCAAGCTAATTAACCTCAGGTGTACGGCGTCTATTGATGCGCCTCTCTTGATTTTCCCACTTGAGTTCGCTCTATTGTCCCCCTAATTGAGGAGTAATAGATTATATATTGCACAATACAACAATAGATTATACTGCACATTACAACAATAAATTATATTGCACAATCCAATAATGCTTATCATTTAGCTCGGATTATCTGAATCTTAGTCAGGTCAGGGTCATTTTACTTTTAGATGACCTAAAAGGCCAGCAAAAAAATCTAGCTAACCGTCTTTTCAACTTTTGATGTTCGGTCAAACAATTTTTATCATCCGCCGGTGATTGCATGATTAGTAGGGCAACGTGGGGCAGCGCGCCCCCCACTTTTTCTAAACTAAATTTTTGATGAAGTTTTAATTGATACGAGGTGGTTCTTTGTTTTGTTTAAAGGTGCAAATAATGAGGAATGTATGATGTGAATTAGACGCCTATAGAGTTATTAAATTTTTAATGAAACACTATTTGTAAAAAGTGTCAAAATGGGCCCATTGCCCCACCCCTGGGGCAATGGGCCCATGGGCTTGGGGCAAGGCGCCCACCCTTGGTCCCTTTACCACAATTGCATATTTTTCGTTTAAAAATGATAAAACAACACTTTACTGTTAAAAATAAGAAAAATTTAATAAAAAAATGACATTCATTCATTTATTAACAACTCAAAAATCACATCCATAGCTTGACAAAAATATACTCTTGGCTTAAAAAATCTATCACTGACGTGAAGAAAAATATTTCATTGACATAACATTATATATCCTTGACTTGAAAAAGATATCTTTGCGATAAAAAATTCGTCCTTGACATGAAAAAATGAGAACACGGACCAATATCTGCCATACTTAGCGAGAAACCCGCTATGGGCCCGTGACCCGCAGTGGGCTCGCTGCCCCATGTTACCCTATATTTTCATCGATGAACCGTTGTTAGCGTCCACATGAAGAAAGGCTTAATGCAATGAAACAAAGTAATGCTTTGAGTTGAAAACATGTCCTACCAGTTGAGTATTTTGACACAAATTGTTGATTTAGAGACAGTTGCGTTGAAAATTCCAAAGAGATATGAGGAAATTAGAGGATACTTTTTTATGTATGCAAATAAATGAAGCAATTGCGCCTTGCGTTGCAATATACAGGGGCTATATATTGTGTGTTGTATGCCTGTCGCCGCAATATACAGGGGCTATTGTGTGTTGTATGCCTGTCGCCGCAATATACAGGGGCTATTGTGTGTTGTATGCCTGTCGCTGCAATATACAGGAGCTATTGTGTGTTGTATGCCTGTCGCCGCAGTATACAGGAGCTATTGTGTGTTGTATGCCTGTCGCCGCAATATACAGGAGCTGGACACAATATACAGGGGACACAATATACAGGGGACGCAATATACTGGGGGACACAATATACAGGGAACACAATATACAGGGGACACAATATGCAGGGGACTCAATACGCTGCCACGTATCGGGATGGGAATGCGGCCTAAATTTTAATTTGTAGCGGTGGAGTCATTAGGCAATGGGCATTGCATAAAAAATTAAAAAAATGAATTAAATTTAAGGAATGAAATCAATATAATATCTGAATTTCATAAGCTTGAAAACCAGCAGGTTAATTCGGCGCTGCTCATGATCGATAATGTCTGCAATTTTAGGATACCGTTAACCCGAATTAAATTCATAATAATGAAACTCACGTATGCTAATTAAATAAATAAAAGTTAAAAAAACAGGCTGTACATTGAACATTGAACAACCAGATGACTCCTTTTTCAAAATATTCAAAGCAATTGTACACCTTTAATTCAAAATGCATTAATACAAATTCAAAATTGAATTTCGATTTTGCTCCAATCTTTCCCTACCAGTTTTACAATCCTTTCCTATTCTTTCACTATGAATAAATTTCCAGGTCCTCGTAATATACCAACACTATAAGTATCCTGAATAATTAAAGGAAGAAGAACAAGGTTAACCTACTAGGTCATTATAATAATACTGTAATTTCATGAAACCATCCATGTTGCGTGAAAATCATTGTACTGTCACGTCACCATTAACCATGACACCGCTACATAAATATGGCAGTTCATTTGTATTCTTACGGAAGATTTTCTATAAAATACTGTGACTGTCATGAATAAGACTCAGGTTGAACTTGAATTAATTAAGTTTGTATCAACCAAGTATCCGAAAACCGTCAAAACCGCTACCTTGAATTCTTGTACAGTGAATCGGTGGCGGTCATGTCTAGCGATGATGTCTGGTCAGACATAAGCCATCATGTCTTATCTGACACGATCGTCCATGACATGCCAGACATAGGCGGTCATATGCAGACATGCTCTATATATGTACGTATATATAGAGCATGTAAAACTATCTCCAGCTTGATAATGAAAATTGTATTTTCGAAACGTTGCAAACTACTATAATGTCATTTGGAAACCTACTTTTCAATCTCCCGACGCCAGCAAGAAATTTGGTTCGACTCATTGAAAAAACGAACAAGAAGATTGTTAATAAAAAGCATGCTCTGGTCTTCAATCAAACTTGCATATGTACGTATGTAGACCGACAAATTTTCTATGAGATGACGCCCCGCCAGACATAATTAAGCGTCATATCTAGCCGACATAGGTGGTCATACGCTGACATATATTTAGACCGACTAATTTTCTATATGTGATCATGCCCCGCCAGACATAAGCGATCATGTCTAGCAGGCATAGAATATCATAGGCAGACATAGACGTAGTCTAATAAGTTTTCTATGAGAAACTCTGCCTCTGTTATGCTTCATTAATCTACTGAGGCTCTCACCGCTGATGAGCGGCTCTCGTTAGGCTGTCACGGCTCTGTCCTATACAATATATTAAACTACTCAATTATTAATGGTACAACTTGAAAATTAGTTGATGAATTTTCAAGGCTGTACTCTCTAAAACATATATTGCTATACATATGAATTTTTAAGGTTAAAATTTGAAAATTAATACGTTTTCACGGCTCTGTCCTTTAGAATATATTATACTCTGAATATTATTTATTAATGAACAACTTGAAAATTATTATATTTTTTGAGTTTATCCGTGGTACCCAATTTTTGCACTTAAATCATTAAAAAATGTCAAAAAGTCGTATATATATTAACATTTCAATCGAAAAGCTGAGTTTAAGCGCATTTTTTCATTTATGGAAAAAAGGCGCTATTGTGCTCGCCATGTCCGTCCGTCCGTCCGTCTGTCTGTCCGTGACTGCGTTTTCGTCGACGAGAAAATGCGCTCTCTGTCACTCACTGCAGTGAGTACTGAGTTATATTTTTTATCTACTGACCCCAGCTAAGAATATCGTTCCACTCACGGGAACAAAACAATAAAGAAAAAGTTTAATACAAAAAATACTATTTGGTCTTCAAGTGAACATTTTTAAAGGAACAACTTTTATCAAATTATACTGGCCCCGTTGCTATGTATATTTTACATCAGTGAATTAGTGAAAACTGAAGTGAGTGAGTGATTCATAAGTTCAGCAAAGGGATTGCTGAATTAAAAAACATATTTTTTCATGTACAAAGAAAGCACTTACCGCTTTGCCATCTTTACTTCAAATACTAACCATGAATATATTGATGACCTGAACGTTGATGGGAAATTTGTAAGTGAGTTTTAATATGTAATTTTAGTTAATAAAAAATTGTTGTAAAGACTACCTAAGACGGTAACTTCGAACTTGGTAGAGAATAAATCTGCCCTAACATAGTGTTGAGCGATAACAAAACAAAGAAATATGGCAAGATAATTTACCATAACTTCCATGCAGATATATTAACTTATCGTATTAAGTTATTATCCACCAAATCTCCTTCATAAGGTTTAGGCTGCAATTAATCATTTATTCCTTCAGAAAACATCAGACAGCAACGATAAAGTGGCCATTTCCCCCAAACATTTATTAATATTTATTAATATGTGTTTAATTAATTTTTAATAATAATATTATTAACAATGTTAATAGTATGTCCATAGTATGTCCATACTATTAACATTGTTACTAGTATGGACACTGTAATTATAGATCGCTGCAAGTGGGCAGTAATATAAGATTGTAATACTACCGCCGGTAGGTCTGTTAGCGATTAAAAAAACTTTTTATTCACTTCTAGTTAAGTTAAACTTTGCCTGATGAAGTTCCTTATCTCTTCAGCGTATACAAGGTACGGAGGGGCCCGCACCTCAGATCGCCCTCCTTCGGGATACAACTCCTGCGACCTCACATCTGACGACCTCCAGGACCTCGAGAGGGGTACGGAACCTATTTCAGCTGGCATGGAGAAGAGCTCAGAAACCAGCATAACATCTTCAGTGTTGGTATCTCCTACTGGACGGACATGTCATAGTTCCGATGGGGGAGTCGACAGTCCGGTTATGACGGCGTTTCAGAATTGCATGTCACCCCAAACCCGCATCACCTCCTCCACTGACCGTGATGCAGGTGATAGAGGTGACAGTGAATTAACGGATGCCCCGAGATATCGAAACGACGCTATGAATATCCAGCCAGCTTCCAATCACTACCCAGCTCATGAATTCGGTGCTGAACGATCAGATTGTGCTATTAAAAAAGCCCGGACTTCAAGGCATTTCCAAGTGGATGGTGCAACACATTTAGATTCATTAAAAGCAGGTATTGCTGGAAAGGTCGACTCGAACATAGACTCCACCACCAGCGTCACCAGCTCATCTTTCATGCGCCGTTCACCAGCAACCACGGTAGATTATTTCAACGGCAACTACGACCACCTACAGACTGACAACCCACACGCTCCTCCATGCCGCAATGTCCCATGCCACGATTCCCCACGTCACACCTCATGCCATGATGCCCCATGCCACGATACCCCATGTAACGAGCCCCATCCTGGATACTCAGTCCCCCAACCGCGCTCCAACGAACCAAAAAACTTTTCTTTGATGTCCATGTCTGAAACTCGTCATCCTACCTCAGACACATCGGACAGAGACACGACTTTGGGACCAAACACTTGCGGAGACCGCATGGACACAAGTCATCCTTCTGCTGGCGGACAACCTGGCGTGCCATCCAAGCCTCTTCATCCAATGCTGGTGAATGCATCCGCGTCTCTGGAACTCAAGTCGCTGTGGGACGACTTCAACGAACTCGGCACCGAGATGATTGTCACCAAGGCTGGCAGGTAAGGACGTTTGTTCTCGAATATTTTCATGATATTTAATATCATCAATTTCAATTTTTCATGGTAATGAATATCCTCAATTTCACTTGTTCGTGATATTTAATATCTTAAATTTTAATTTTTCGTGATATTTAATATCTTTAATTAAAAATTTTCATGATATTTAATAACTTCTTCAATTACCATTTGTCGCCAGAAATACTAAGAAACATGTATAGATGACGTAATTAGTAATAATTTTATGCAGATGCATTCTCCGAAAACGGGAGAACATTTTTCCCGAAATTCCCTGAGCGACATGAATAATATAATTAAATTCAGAGCATCATAAACAGTATCATGTTCATATATGAACAAGAAACTGCTTATTAGTAAGCTTCCAATTACTTCACATAATTGTGAAACAAACAAAACATTATGCGAAGTCATTTCATCCAACACTTCGATTAAATTCGAATTTGTTTGTGCTTGTAATCGCTCTAGAGACTTAGACCGTACAAGCCAATCAACTAACTGCTATTAGTGCAAACTCAAGAGTTCTCGACGAATTTTAACATATGTGATAAATGGATATAATGATCGTTAATTTGATCACCTAGAATTAGCCCTGGAATGTTCAATTTGCTCACTGCACCATCAGCCCTCACACTGTCATTGCACTGTCACCCAAGTCAAAATAATGCAATGCTGAGAACATTTACGTTTGTATATAAATTTATTACCTTATAATAATTTTATTATAAGGTTGTGGCGTCCTTATTCCTTCTTGACGCGACTCAAAGAGCTCGCTCTCAGTTCACTAAGAATCCTTTAGCGCGAAGAAGCAACGAATTTGCTTTCAATCGAAATCTCAATTACTATTTTATAAAATTTACAATAAATACATATCAATATCACTTCAAAATCATTTAAATACACATCATGGAGCACATCACCATTGTAGCGGTCCAGTTTATTATTTAAGATTTTGTACGTAATAAAAATATTTAGATATATAGAATTAGATTTAATTGTATTATTAAGATTTGTTTATATCTGAAAGTAACCACAGCTGAATACGACAATAGCCAACTTCATTCCAGCTTTTAGTATTTTTGATACATTGCACTAGAACCTCTTATTAGAGTAAGTACTTAAGTGTTGCAACAGTCATCCTGTACTAATTACTTTGTTCAATAGCTAATTTGATTATTACTGTTTATGACCGTTTTCTATGTATTTGTATCGATGTAACTTGTAACAATCTGTTATTTATACAGGGTTTTATACTGAGACCAGAAAAAGCGTATTTTATTTACTCAGTCCTTATCGTGAGATGCTTACCATCACATCACGTTTTAATCACGGGAACTTGAAAAGATTAACTGATACTGTGTAGCACATGTAGTAAAATGTGAGGCTCCATGCATGAATATTGAAGTGAATGTGAATGTTGGTCGTGGGAAGAGACGATGTGTGGTCGCGGGGGAGTTTCATTCCCGGGACCGATGGCCTACACGGGACCGAAGGCTTGCACGGGACCGAAGGCTTAGCGGGCCCAAAGACTTGCTTGACACCGAAAGCCTGCATGGGACCGAGGGCTTTCACGGGACCGAAGATTTGCACGGGACCGAAGACTTGCACGGGACCGAAGATTTGCACGGGACCGAAGACTTGCACGGGACCGAAGATTTGCACGGGACCGAAGACTTGCACGGAACCGAAGGCTTGCAAGGGACCGAAGGCTTGCACGGGACCGAAGGCTTGCACGGGACCGAAGGCTTGCAAGGCAAAGTATCGCACAGAAGTGAAGGCTATGGACCTGTTTTGCGAGGCGGGGGCGAAGGGCGGGCGTCATTAGAGCGGCCACTGTAAACAGTTTTGCGAGGCGGGGGCGAAGGGCGGGCGTCATTAGAGCGGCCACTGTAAACACCACAAAACCGCTGTGTATGGTGGTGTGGTGGTGATGACCCGCTCCCTCTCATTACCATATATGCAACTAAATATTTTTATTCGGGACCAAATATATAAATAGGACTAAATTACGATACTTACCTCTACATTACCTCCCCAAAATTTTCTTCTCAGTTTAGAATCCATAGTGGCAATCACACCCCATATTAAGGTTATTTCCCCCACTTTTTGGGTAATTTGTCCCAATTTAGAATCACGGGACCAATTACCTTCACGAAGGTAATTAACCCCCAGGCTTTATTTTACCCGATTTGATTCGATTTTTTTCGCTTTTTTAACTATTTGTGAGCCTGTGCCAATAAGAAAAATGAGTGTATAATTTTGTCCAAATAGTGACTCACTATCAGCATCTAGATCAAATACGCCCTTTTGAAGTGAATGTCTTGTTGACCCAAACTGCGATAAAAAGTGCATCGCAATTCGTTTTTTTGTGGGCCACGTTGACACACAATTCATAAGGCGGTATCAGTGCTACATGCAAGAAATAAGTGTGTCAGTATTAAGACAACTTGACCCACTCATTGCCCCTGCCGTGCCCCCTGCAGGAGGATGTTCCCGACGTTCCAGGTGCGTCTGTACGGCCTGGACGTCGCCAGCGACTACATCTTAATGTTGAACTTCGCGCCCGTGGATGATAAGAGATACAGATATGCCTTCCACAGGTGATGTTGTAGGTAGATGAGGGTAGATGTTGTGAGTAGATGTTGTGAGTACCTAGATGTTGTGAGTAGATGTTGTGAGTAGATGTTGTGAGTAGATGTTGTGAGTAGATGTTGTGCGTAGATGTTGTGCGTAGATGTTGCGTGCAATTGCATATTTTGGACTTTTGCATGAATTTCGAATGAATTACAAAATGAATTATTATTATATATTAATAATAGTTGCCTTTGCCTTATTAAAATATTGTTTACAAAGTCCATTATAATTTTATATCAGACGTAAATAACCTCCATTATATTCATCACTATATGAACATATTAACTGTTTACTATTGTTCCCAAATGTTTAAATAGTTATCCACGACTGAAGATCAATGTTAATAAAATATCAATAATTTCACTCTTCCTTCATCCACGCAGACCTCGTGGATTTTCTTTGCAATAAAAACGGTAATAATTATAAATAAATCCCCTATAAATAACCACGCAGACCGCGTGGATTATCTTTGAAATAAAAATGTTAATAATTATAAATAAATCCCCTATAAATAAATCCCTAAATCCCCCCTAGCTCGTCATGGATCGTGGCTGGCAAGGCTGACCCCAACTCGCCCCCCCGCATCCACATCCACCCAGACTCTCCCGCCAAGGGGGCCCAGTGGATGAAACAACTTACGTCCTTTGATAAACTCAAACTTACTAATAATCAACTTGATGATAACGGACACGTGAGTTCAACTTACCTATCTCTGATAAAATCAAACTTACCAATAATCAACTTGATGATAACGGACACGTGAGTTCAACTTATCTCTTATCGTCTCAAACTTACTAATAATCAACTTGATGATAACGGACATGTGAGTTCAACTTATCTCTTATCGCCTCAAACTTACCAATAATCAACTTGATGATCATCACCGAGCTTTCAAACTTTTTCATCAACTCGAGCTTACCATGCACGAATCACCCTGGCATCTGATGTTGAAATAATGTCAATTAAACGTTGTTTCTACTAAATCAACTCGTTCTCAAAATTGGTTCAACGTCATTTGCCAAAAAGTAAATAATTTGCTGAATTTCAAGAGACAATCAACAAGTTCTGCAGGAAAATCTATTGAAATTTTAATTTACATATATGTACATTTAATTTGCAATACATTTAATGTATATATGCATGTATATATCCACATGCAATGTAATTATGCATTTAATGTATACGTTCAAATGTATCTATTGCATTTGCATTACATTTAATTTGTATTTATATACGTGTAATTTTAATTTGAATATTTACACATTTAATTTGCGTATATATCACATGTCTTAATGTATGTGAACGTGCCTTGATTCATTGTATATAGTGAACATCACACAACAGTTGTGTGAATGTGTCTTGCACGGTGAAAGGATACACAAAAATGTATCTTGCGAGTTCAAGTTATTAAAGTAATACAACTTTAGACTTTTGTATTTGACATTACAATAATATTCTACAAGGACGCCACCATTAGCGAGTGATGGTTAGGGGATGGTTAAATAAAACAAAATTAAGCTTGTTATGGACATGTACAAATATGTATGCCATAAAAGGTGTACACTGCCTATCATTACAGATCATTCTGAACCATTTCCTGTCATCAAAGATCATTCAGAATCATAACCTATCATTACAGATCATCCAGTACAGTTACCTATCATTATAGCTCATTTGAACCATTACCTATCATTACAGATCATCCTGAATTATTACCTATCATTACAGAACATCCTGTAAAGTTATCTATCATTATAGCTCATTCTGAAGCACTACCTATCATTACAGATCATCCTGAACCATAACCTATCATTACAGATCATCCTTAACCATTACCTATCATTACACATCATCCCGAACCATTACACATAATTCTGAACCATTACCTATCATTGCAGATCATCCTGAACCATTACCTATCATTACAGATCATCCTGAACCATTACCTATCATTACAGATCATCCTGAACCATTGCCTATCATTACAGATCATCCTGAACCATTACCTATCATCACAGATCATCCTGAACCATTACCTATCATTACAGATCATTCTAAACTCGATGCACCGCTACCAGCCTCGCTTCCACATCGTCTACGTGAACCCAAAGCAAGAAGACGTCACAAGAACTGAGAACTTCAAGACGTTCGTCTTCCCTGAGACGAAATTCACGGCAGTCACGGCATATCAGAACCATCGGGTGAGTTCACGGCAGTCACGGCACATCAGAACCATCGGGTGAGTTCACAGCAGTCACGGCATATCAGAACCATCGGGTGAGTTCACGGCAGTCACGGCATATCAGAACCATCGGGTGAGTTCACGGCAGTCACGGCATATCAGAACCATCGGGTGAGTTCACGGCAGTCACGGCATGTCAGAACCATCGGGTGAGTTCTCGGCAGTATCATTAAATATCATCTAGAGCATCTAGGTTATAATCATCCAGAAACTATCAAGTATCATCTAGAGCTTCTAGGATATAATCACCTAGAAACTATTATATATTATCTAGAGGTTCTAGGTTATAATCATCTAGAAACCATTAAATATCATCTAGAGCTTCTAGGTCCTAATCATCTAGAAACTATCAAGTATCATCTAGAGCTTCTAGCACCTACAAGCTGCTCTACTTCACCAGCTCTAGCACTCTAGAGCAGCGGCAGCAGCACAGCCATTATATTGCCCATTTGTACGCGCAGTAAAGACGATATATCATTATATATCACTATTAATTAATACCCAACGAGGACGATATATCATAATTAGGGACGCGCGGCACTAGCTCTGAACGCTGGGAGTCTCCATATGTGGCATTCAGAGGACCATAAGGTATTTTAAGTATTCATGTTGTATTATAAATATTCATGAGGTATTTTAAATATTCTTACGGTATTTTAAGCGTTCTTGTAGTATTTTAAGTACTCATGTGGTAATCTAAGTACCTATTTAGCCCTCTAAGTACAGAGCTCTAAGTTAAGATATGGCCCTCCGAGTACCCCTGTAGCACCCTAAGCATCTCTTACTCGCTCTGAGTACTCGCCTGACAGTATACATGTGTAACAAGTATACATGTATCCCTGTGGCACCCCAAGCACCCACGGGGCACCCTAAGCACCCACGGGGCACCTTAAGTATCCACGTGGCACTCTAAGCACTCATCTTGCACTCTAAGTATCCCTGTATTCCTCTGGCACCCTAAGCACTCCCCCCGAGTACTTAATAGGCACTCCAAGTACCCCTGTGGCACCCAAGGTGCCACGTCGCGCGCCACAAGACAAAGCGCCAATTAAGCGCCGCTGTGGACCACACGCGCGCCCATGAGGACGCTCCACTCACAGCAATGAGTGGAACTTTGTCCTAATATTGACCCACTTTAGACCCGTATGTGGGTCATTCTGACCCAGTTTAGCTCTGTTAAAGCACGTATCAGTGCTACGTCCACTGTCACTGCTGCGTGCAGTGGGTAAGAAAGTGTGTCAATATTTAGACAATATAACACATTAATTTATCTGGGTGCGCGTAGGCAACCCTCACCTAATTACCGAATTTCCCCTCATTATTCTGGTCACGGACTAAACATATCCTTTTATTGTATAAAAATAAATAATTTTTTATTATACATTTTTTATAAAATTATTAGTTTTTATTATATTTTAATTATCTTTAATTTTTATTATACTATATTATTTTTATTATATTATATTATTTTTATTATGTTATGTTATTTAGAAGTTGTACTCTGTATTATAGTTCACTCTCGTGGTCTTGAGGTCTTACACTCAGAGAAATGTAATGGATACATTGTCCAAATTGTGGCAAACTTTTTGCACGTAGCACTGATACGGCCTTTTGCGGGCCAAACTGAGTCAGGATTACCCACATATGGGCAAAAAGTACATCGTTATTTGGACAAAGTTCCACTCATTTCTCTAAGAATATAATGTAAATGAACACGAGTAATTGTCGTATATGTAAATTCTTTATTAATGTCTACAAAGACATTAATTAATTAATAATGGAATTTAAAATTAATTAATAATGTGAGTAAATAACCAGGAAAATCTCACAGTAAAAGTTACAAATTTATGTTAGTGGAGCTTCGCACTTATAAAACTAATTTAATATTTATTATTAACTGTTAAGTTTTCTTAAACAGATAACCGATGCAAAAGTGTCTAAGAACAAATATTTGATCAAAAGAACAATGGAAGATGAACGAAAATTTAAAGCGTTCTCATCAGTAGTTGAAAAATAGTTTATTATACAAAAACTTATAAGAAGAACGGGACCAAATTTTATATTTATTAATGTGTCCCGCCATCTTTGAATGAAGCGACATCTTCATTCTTATACCTTCTAAATCAATATAATTTTGGTTCTAGAATTACATTGGCATGTTGCACTTCATGGGAAAAAACAAAAATCTCGGTTCTTATTAAATCTTAAATTATGTTAGTCTAACACATGACCTAACTGATTAATTAATTTTAGCCTCACACATTACCATTAACTGAATAATTAATATAAGCCTCACACATTACCATTAACTGAATAATTAATATAAGCCTCACACATTACCATTAACTGAATAATTAATATAAGCCTCACACATTACCATTAACTGAATAATTAATTTTAGCCTCACACATAACCTAACTGAATGCTTAATTTTAGTCACACATCACCATTTACTGAATAATGATTTTAGTCACACATTGCCTAACTGAATAATTAATTTCTTATTGACTTGCCCTGGCAGATCACGCAACTGAAAATCGCAAGCAATCCCTTCGCTAAAGGCTTCAGAGACTGCGACCCTGAGGAGTGGTGAGTTTCATGATAATAATAATAATAATAATAATAATAATAATAATAATAATAATAATAATAATAATATATTAATAATAATAATAATGATGATAATAATAATAAAAATAATAATAATGCTAACAATAATAATAATAATAAAATAATAACAATAATTAATTGGTTAGCAATTAATGTAGAAATGATGCACTCATCATGAAACATGATCACGTGATCAGTCGGTATCGTAATTATTCGGTTTCACGTTTCGTGTTTCGGCCAGTTTCAGGCTTTAAAATTTATAAACCAGTCAATAATATTCAACTTGACAATGATAATCAAATACGCAGCGTGAACTTATCGATGTTTTGTGCAGCATTAGATTGCACTTAATATCATATAGACCTTTCCTACATTACAGTAAACAATGGAATTAATAATAAAAAAATAATAACCCTAACACTAACTACTCCATATTTGTTTATAATGTTTTCTTAAATCAAGCAATTGAATTGCGATATAAAGGTTATTTTATTAATAAGAAGTAATAATAATAATTTTTCAATGATATATAATAGATACAACTTGTTTTAACTAAAATGAAAGTTTATTTTACATGCATCTGTTGCAGCTCAACAGAAGTCATGAGTCAACTACAGTCTTCAAATCAACACAACAACAGCACAAATAAAAACAACTGCAGCCAACAACAACAACAGCAACAACAGCAGAGGGCGTATACAGCGTCTTACCACACCGCCGTGCTGCCCAAAGAAGGTGTGTGGGTAAAAAGTGGGTCAGAGTGTAAAAAGTGGGTCAGCGTGTAAAAAGTGGGTCAGAGTGTAAAAGTCAGAGTGGGTCAGAGTGTAGAAGTGGGCCAGAGTGGGTCAGAGTGTAGAAGTGGGTCAGAGTGTAGAAAAAGAGAATATTGTGAATATTTTAGAGATTTTCTTACTTGAAATAAAAATTAGCCAAAAAAAGACAATGAAGTGGATTTAGAATATGAATTTAGAATGAATGAATCTTTTTATGTAATGTACTGTTATTGTAATGTTATATTTTCTTATCATATCCCAAAATAAATCTGTAACTGTTCTTAAACGAACGCTAGAAGGTAAGTAGATTATAATGGTTCAAACGCAAGTTATTTAGATAACTTATTTAGACAATTTTTTTTTAATTTGCATAATAATCTAGAGTTGTGTCCGTGCCAATAATTGTGGCTGTCTGAGTGAAGTAATTTTATTGCTAGCCCTTCACTTCAACAATTACTATAAAATTGTCATATCTACATTAATAACTTGTTAATTTACAGGGATTTGACATTTTTTTACATTCAATTTACCATTTTTCACATGGAATTATTTTCCATATTTTACATGGAATATAAATTTTTCCACATGAAATTACTTTAGCATTTTTACATGGAATTTACCTTTTTTATTTATATGGAGTTTACCTTTTAATAATACCTCGATAGTGTATACATTAATGGAATTTAAATGGACCTCAGAAATCACGCAAGCGCGCACGTTTGTTGTAGGCCTGAGTCGCCCACCTCCCATTTCTTCAAATTCAATTTAGTAAATAAATATACAATTTAAAATTTCTTTAAAATTAATCCGAAAACATTCATGAATTTCTCACATCTTTCCCGAACTCCACGGGAATATTCATGCCGAGAACGGCATCACTTATATCACTAAATATATATCACACTCTATATTATATATCACTCCATATATATCACATTATATTATGTATCACTCTATATACATATATACCAGCAACATATCTTGACATACCAGCTATAATTTTAGGTTAGACCGGAACCTATTTTACTTAACTGCAATAAATAGAATATCGTGTTATTAAATTATTTATAATATAACTTGAGGCTTCGCGACGTCTTTCTCGGCGTCTCGGCGATGTCTTTCTCGGCGTCTCGGCGACGTCTTTCTTGACGTCTCGGCGACGTCTTTCTTGGCGTCTCGGCGACGTCTTTCTTGACGTCTCGGCGACGTCTTTCTTGACGTCTCGGCGACGTCTTTCTTGACGTCTCGGCGACGTCTTTCTTGACGTCTCGGCGACGTCTCCCTCGCGAGGGCAACACCTGGCGACCGTTCGCCTCATTGACGCCTAACGAGCGAGTCGTTACGTGGGGGAGGGGGGGGAATACGGAAGGGGGGAGGGGAGAGGGGAGAGGAGTTAAGTCTATGTGTGTTTGGGAAAGAAATGTGTGAGAGTATGAGGGATATACACATTATACAGGCCTGAATGTTTATTTGTGTTTTGAGCTCCTACTTGTGGGTGTTTGCGGTGTGTGTGTTTTGCTAAGATGTTGCCTAGAAATTGTGTTTCGTGTGTATGTTTGTGTGTTAGTGGCAGTGATGCATGAATGTGTTGATGTGCTGTATGTGTATCAGCATACATGCATATGTATGATGAATGAAGAAGTAGCTCCGTTGTTATTCATCATACATGGCGTGTGTGAGTGTGGAACTTTATGAGCATGAGTATGTGTGAGTAATAATAACAAACACAATTCATAATCATTTTAAATTGGAGGCTGTACAGAATTTTTTTCCGAGACAAATGTATGCTACAAAAAGGTCCGGTAGTTGTTCACTTAATAAATATTAAGATTATCTTTTTTGATGACATATATCAGACTTAGAACTATCAACTATCTACAGACTATCAGAATAACATCAGTTTCATTTAAAATGGAAGTTAACATTACATTGAACATTGATTTATTAGAGAAAATTGATCAGATTAATAATTAGAAACAGTAAATAAAATAAGAAACAAACACTATAATAAGAAACAAAATATATAATGACAACCAAACAATATAACAAGAAGCAAACATAATAATAAGAAACGAACAAACACTATAATAACAAACAAGCACTATAATAAGAAACAAACAATATAATAACAAACAAACAATTTAATAACAAACAAATAATATAATAACGAACAAACAGTATAATAACAAATAAACAATATAATAACAAACCAACAATATAATAACAAACAAATAATATAATAACAAACAAAGAATATAATAACAAACCAACAATATAACAACAAACAAATAATATAATAACAAACAGAGAATATAATAACAAACAAACAATATGATAACAACCAACAATATAATAACAAACAAACAATATAATAACAAACAAAGAATATAATAACAAACCAACAATGTAATAACAAACAAACAATATAATAACAAACCAACAATATAATAACAAACAAACAATATAATAACAAACCAACAATATAATAACAAACAAACAAATATAATAATAAACAAACAATATAATAACAAACAAACAATTTAATAACAAACAAACAATATAATAACTAACCAACTATTTAATAACAAACCAACAATATAATAACAAACAAACAATATAATAACCAAACCAACAATATAATAACTAACCAACAATATAATAACAAACCAACAATATAATAACAAACAAACAATATAATAATAAACATACAATATAATAACAAACAAACAATATTATATAAAAAATCTGTAAAGTAACACGTAAAGTTGCCAGCAGCACAACGACGCTGCCGTCTGTCACGTGCAGCTAATACAGTGTGTGAAATGTGTCTGTGTATTCTGTGTCTCCTTGTTTGCTGTGTGTATCTGTGTGATGTAATTAACCACCAAGGGTTCTGTGTGGCTGTGTGTTGCATAGTGTGTGTTTTAGAAGACGTCCGCACACAGTGTTTGCCACAGCGTGCAGTGGTCTGCCGCAGCATGCGGTGGTCTGCCACAGCGTGCTGTGGTCTGCCACATCGTGCTGTGGTCTGCCACATCGTGCGGTGGTCTGCCACATCGTGCTGTGGTCTGCCACAGCGTGCGGTGGTCTGCCGCAGCATGCGGTGGTCTGCCGCAGCATGCGGTGGTCTGCCACAGCGTGCTGTGGTCTGCCACAGCATGCGGTGGTCTGCCACAGCGTGCGGTGGTCTGCCACAGCGTGCGGTGGTCTGCCACAGCGTGCGGTGGTCTGCCACAGCGTGCGATGGTCTGCCACAGCGTGCGGTGGTCTGCCACAGCGTGCGGTGGTCTGCCACAGCGTGCGGTGGTCTGCCACAGCGTGCTGTGGTCTGCCACAGCGTGCGGTGGTCTGCCATATATCTCGCTTGACATGTTTACTGCGCGACGCTTCCTGTAGCGCCGCTGCTGCTACGCGGACAAGATACACCCAGAAAAATAATTGAGACTTTGAGCATATATAGAGGCACTTTTTGCCCCTTTTTTAAGTCATCTTGACCTATTATAGACTACAAGAAGGTGGAATGTAGCTACGTCTGCTCTTTAATTGAGCTGCAGGTAACAATGTACGTCACTATTATGACCATTTTACCCATCAATTTTCTAGAGCGCAGGTGCGCATGAGAATTATGGTCACCGTAGAGGCGGCCATGCAAATACCGTTGTGTGGCCACCCGAAAACCGCCCAATATTCTCAATATATTCTGCATTGGCAAAGACCCTGGTAGAAGGATATTTATTTCTTGATTTAATCCTAGTTATATATAATGAAAATACATAATTATATTTAATTACAAAGTTGTTTAAATTCTGTAAAATTTCATGGAAAATAGAGGGAACTCGCTGATGAGATTCGCATGCAGTTCCCAGTTTTTTGGATGATTATTGAAAATATTTTATGTGTGAGTTTGTTCTAATTACAAAATCCATTTGATGCGAACGAAGAGTTACGGATATCGGAAAATAACGATGTTTATCTGTACAATAACATAATATAATAATTTTGGAAAATAACGGACAATTTATTTACATAAAATATTTGTGTTAATCTCTTGGTTGCAATTCGAATTTTGGAAAAATGAATTAACGTCATATTTTACTCGAGTATTATGTCCACGAGGTTTCAGACACACAAGCGAGATACAGTTCTGATATGTTATATGATCTAATTATCGCCATGACATGACTTTGGTCGTGAGTCATATTTTACAACACTTCTCTTTAAGTTCACTTCTTGTTGTCTGTCTGTCTGCTACAAATCTTGTAATCGATATTTAACACACTTCTACCTGTCTAATCTATCTGAAATTTAGCACACTTGCATAAAGTTGGAAACAGTGCATGAATCAATTGACAGAATAAATAATTTTAAAAATAATTTTTTTTTTCAAAATTAAAAAAAATTGAAATAATAATTTTGTCTGCAACAAATCTTACAATCGATATTCAACACACTTCTACCTGTCTAATCTATCTGAAATTTTGCATACTTGCGCAAAGTTGGAGACAATGCATGAATCAAGTGACAGAATAAATAATGTTGAAAATTTAATGTTGAAAATTTAAATGATTAAAAAATTAATTTTTTATATTCAAATTAAAATTAGAAATTAATTGTACATGTTTGCATTGGAGACACTGGATTTTTTAGAAATGTTGTCTTTAAAAAGTAATTTTTAAAGAATCATCATCTGTGCTTGTAATGTAATATTCAATTTGAAAATTGTAAGTTTTCATAATAATAGAAATAGCAGCAAAGTCTGGAAAATATCACGGCTCAGGAGCTCATCCCTCCATTAAATGACGTTGAAAGAACGTTTAATCGACGTTACTCAACGTTAGAATCATGGGGCCATATACATACAAAACTCGCTAAGTGAACGTAAGTACTTACGCTCTATTTTCTTGTCTATGATTGGTGGATTTTGCTTGAAAGGCCGTCAATGATTGGCTGATGAACTTACGATCTCTTAACTTTTTTGAAAGTATAGGCCCTGGTTGTTGAGTGCGCTCAGAAAAATGAGGATATTTTCTCGAAATTACGATATAGTTTTTTTCCCCATTTTGTGAGTCACTTTCACCAAGTTTAGCCTGGAAAAATATTAGTGCTATGAGCAGAAAGTGTCTCACTTCGGGGACAATATGACATTTATTTTTTTAAGTGCATGCTACGTATATCCCCAACAGAGGATTGTGACTCGGAAGCGTCCTTGTTCTCGCGTATGGCCGTGGGTAGCGCGCCCCTGGAAGGGTTCTTCCCTCCTGTAGGAGGGGTTCCTTACCTACAGACCCCCAGCTCCCCCGCGACCCTGGGGCACAACTACTCTTCAGACCCCTGCCAGTATGGGCCGGTCTATGGGTCTTACGGTGGACCTGCAGCCCCTCTAAAATCCAGACCTTTTTCACCGTATCATCGGTCTTCTCCGTGCTACAGGTGAGCTCAAATATTTTACTTCTAACCAAAGAACAAGTCAACATTCTGGTGCAATATTCAACTATTCAACTGCAACAGACTACACTTAAAAATCACTATGTCATATTGTCCAAATGGTGACGCACTTTCTACGCGTAACTTTTATGATACGTCAAGAATACCCAAATAAAAGCAAAATAATTTTCGCTATAGAGTATAATTATTTCCAAATATATTTTAAATATAAAGTTTTTTCCAAATATGTTTGAAAAAAAAAAATTCTTATGAGCGGATCTTCCTGCATCACCAACAACCCTCCAGATTTAACAGGTTCTGCTCGTCAATTCCAGCTTCTACATGTAGGAAATATTCTATATAATGTTGCAACAGGTTCAGAAGGCTATATCTTTTGTATAGCATGTTTTACATTTCACTATCATGAGTTCTGCAGTTACAACAGGTTCAGAACTTAACATGTGAGTCTCCAGGTCCTACAGGTGCAATATGAAAGCAAGGTGTGTCAATTTGGCGCATGCGAATGTTTCTTTCCCACAGTGGAAACAAATGAAAAAATATTTAATTTCTACATCATCGGCCGTTCTACGAAAAGTAGTTTAGACTCGCATGGTGGCATAAGTACGTCGGTAAATATTCGTTCTTTGTGATATCTAATTTGCCAGTTATAGTTTAAATTTCTTTTAAATTGCCAGTAGTATTGGCCTTGATTCCACACCTAAAAATGCTTCAAAAAGTAGCCAATTGTTAATAAATCGATGTTTCAGAGCACATATGTTTTTGTCATGTATGTCGCACCAGAAAATTATTTAAAACATTCATTTGCAATGTCAGCTCGAGTGTTGGAGCGCTGCACGGCAACGTCAGTTCCGAAACGCTATTAATATTTTAGAGTACGAATATTTTAATTTATAAATTATGCTTCCTAAAAAAACTAGCATTTTTCCATTTATTTATAATTTCAGCTCAAGTATCGAAGCGCTGACGGCGGCAACGACAGTACCATGACGCCTTTAATATTTTAGAGCACGAATATTATAATTTTAAAATGTGTATTTCCTAAAAAACAAGCAAGATATTATAATTTATAGATTATACTTCATAAAACGCAAGCAATTTATTATATATTTATAATTTCAGCTCGAGCATCGGAGCGCTGCACGGCAGTTCGGTGGCACCAGCGCCCTACCTCTGCACGAGCACGGCGCCCCCCAACACCGTACCGCCGCTCTATGCACGACAACAACAGCATCAACAACAACAAATTTATCAATCTTATCCCAATAGATGAAGATAGTATCATCGTGACTCTTCTATTCTTAATAAGTTGAATTGATGTAGTTGTGACACTTCCTTTTCAAATCGATGAAAATGGTGTCATTGTGGAATTTATTTCATAACACGTATCAGTTTCGTACGTTTGTTCTAGCTTTCTCTTACAAAATCGCAGTTTGAAAAGCCTTCTGCAGTGTGTTTTGTAAAAAAGTCTCTTTTGTATGGAAAGATGCATTGTATGAAAAATTTAAATACATCTTTTGTATTTTAAAGAAAACTTTTGTAGAAAAATCTACGAGTTTTCCTCATAATATTTCAGTGGTGAGCACAACGCTGTGAGTTTTGGGGCGAGGAAAACCTTATTGCATCGTCATAGTCATGCCATCGATCTAACTTGTGCTTGAATTGTTAACTGTTTTCGTTGATTAAAGTTTAGCTCTTTGACCCATTCATCGGAGCAGGACGACATCTTTTTTGTTAATGTATTATCAATTTATTGAGAAAAATGCCAAGACTGTTTGGCGAATTATCTTAGAATTATATTTTTTGTATTGCGTTGGCCATTGTTTGGGCGAACCTGAAATTTATAAATGAGCATTAACAGCGGAGGCCGAGGACCGACTATGGTACGGTTACTTGTGATATGTTGTAGTTTGTTATACAAATTATTACAGCTTATAAGAGAGTCTAAATATGAACCACAGAACTTCTAATTGTTTTCATTTTATTCCTTCACAAATTCTAGGAAATTAATGATCCAGTTCCAGAAATAAACGGTGGAGAGTGAAACAGGTTTAAAGCATATTTAAAATAATCTTAATCCACGTGAAAGCTATAAACATTCGGAAACGACGCAAAACTCCTAAGGACCTCATATAACTTTAAAAGTAGATATAAGAATATATTATAGACAGCTAATATAGTATTATATTTTAAAAAATTTAACCATCAAAATTAGTGCTTCTATAACTTGTTAATTCGATCAGGTTTTATTTTTTCTGCTACACAAAAGTATCAGAGTTGAAAATTAAATTAAATAATTTAGATCTATTGATTTCATTAGAAACCTTCTGACGTTGGTGGCTCATGTCTTCCCTTGTGTAAACTTATATATTATTGTACAAATAAAGTTAAATGTAAGAGGCACAGACTTCATCTACAAGGTATTAATATTTCCAGTGGTTTGTGCATCGAAAGAATCTTATGCAAATTAAGGAAAATAAAAAGGATGACCTTGAAATTCAGGTCATCGTCTATACGGCAAGTGAGGGCAGCCAAGTGAGGGCAGCCAAGTGAGGGCAGCCAAGTGAGGGCAGCCAAGTGAGGGCAGCCAAGTGAGGGCAGCCAAGTGAGGGNCTACCCTCAGTCCTCTCCCTACCCTCAGTCCTCTCCCTACCCTCAATCCTCTCCCTACCCTCAGTCCTCTCCCTACCCTCAGTCCTCTCCCTACCCTCAATCCTTTCCCTACCGTCAGTCCTCTCCCTACCCTCAGTCCTCTCCCTACCCTCAGTCCTCTCCCTACCCTCAATCCTCTCCCTACCCTCAGTCCTCTCCCTACCCTCAGTCCTCTCCCTACCCTCAATCCTTTCCCTACCGTCAGTCCTCTCCCTACCCTCAGTCCTCTCCCTACCCTCAGTCCTCTCCCTACCCTCAATCCTCTCCCTACCCTCAGTCCTCTCCCTACCCTCAGTCCTCTCCCTACCCTCAATCCTTTCCCTACCGTCAGTCCTCTCCCTACCCTCAGTCCTCTCCCTACCCTCAGTCCTCTCCCTACCCTCAATCCTCTCCCTACCCTCAGTCCTCTCCCTACCCTTAGTCCTCTCCCTACCCTCAGTCCTCTCCCTACCCTCAGTCCTCTCCCTACCCTCAGTCCTCTTCCTACCCTCAGTCCTCACCCTACCCTCAATCCTCTCCCTACCCTCAGTCCTCTCCCTACCCCACTCCCCTCCCTACCCTCAGTCCTCTCCTACCCTCAATCCTCTCCCTACCCTCAGTCCTCTCCCTACCTTCAGTCCTCTCCCTACCCCACTCCCCTCCCTACCCCCACTCTCCCCAATGTTTGGACAGCACAAAGGTCTGTTTTTCGTCACAAGGACACGATAGAAACACCACACGAACAACATGCATCCAGCCGCGACAATTGGTGCCGTTACCGAGCTCACTTCAAAGGATGCTGTGACATTCACGTGCTTTTTAACACTCACATTGCTTTATAAGTCGTTCAATTGCACTGCCTTTGATCCTTTGCGGCTGAAATGACCTTCCCGGCAATGTTGAATCAAGCCACAAAGTGAGCATCATAACCTGCATTGTTTCCCAGCACTTCTGTTGATAGAAGATCCCTTCGTTTTTAATCTTGTGTACAGAGACGAGTATCGGGACATGAGGTATGAGAATAAAGGTGCTGAAGTGGACGATCCAAATAGGCAAAGGTATGGCCATGGCTTTATTATAGACAAATTTTAAAACAAAGTGAACTAAGGCCTGCTAACTTAAACGAATCTTTCATCAACCAGAAAAAGCCGCAAATGGCTGTACATCGCAAGGGTAATAATTACGTTCTTTTCTGCAAACATATTTATTTTCGGACAACCTTTAAAAATATTAAGTTTAATGGAGATTATAATATCATACCTTCGTATAACGAGATAAGCCAGACGAGCCCACATAATTCAACAAATAGGTAGCGTTTCTATACGAAGTCTCGTAAACTGAAAGTATTGATTAGATTTCTTATCCCAATCACCAAAACCGTTTAAGTTTTGATGTCGTGAAGTTATTCATGCCGTTAATGCCACGGTTCACACATATGCTAGATCTTTTTCCAGCATAATTTTGTACTTAGAGTACCAAGACTTTAGTGCTGACTTCGAGGGACAAAAGAAGATGTAGGCTGGAACTGCATCAACCCCACTTTGCAAGCGGTATTTGTCTTTCTTGTTGATGTGATTAGCTGCGAAGCTGTTGGCAGTGCTTACGAGTCTGATGAGCACTGCATTCAATAAGATAACAATTTAAGGAATTAATCCTGTATAAATAAAATGCTTCAGAATTACTTGTAAGATGAGGTTGTATGATGAGTCTCTGCAGTTCACGGTATTGACGAGTAAATGGAAGTCGGGATCCTCATCTTGGAGAAGACGTTGTTCCTGTAGGTGGCTGTTGCGGCATGGATAGTTCAAGGCTTGACGACAGCACGAGAATGGTACGGAATCTTGATACTTGATCATATATTAATATTCCAAAGCCACCCAATTATTTGACTGCCATTCGGTAAGGTCTTTAAATCCACAACATTGCAAGGAAACTTAAGTAGCGTGAATAAACTGGGCAGCTGAGCTATCATTCGGCATTGCTTTCATAGCTGCTCGGAAATCAACGCAGAATGTAGAATAGAATAAATGGATGGTCCATGCGCTAAGTGCGAGGTTCGCTGCAATAAGGATGAACGACGTTGCAACCAACACAATGGCGAAAATTTTCCCGATTCGTTGCTACTGCAGCCATGCTTTTTAAGTCGAAGTTCCTAAATATCGCGAAAATGCGATCGAGCAGAAGTGAAGAAAAACAGATAGCCCGGAAAACGCCACAAACATGCTAAAAGTGATGTTTTTCTCGATTAGCCGCAATTGGATCATCCAATTCCGTGTATTTTATTAGTAGAAAACCATTTTAAATAGATCAATAAATCTTATGATCCATACGTTGCTGCAAATAATGATAGCAATGCTAAGCATAGCCAGTAAAGAGCATATCGTCCGTAGTAGAGTTCTAGCTGTCAGATTTAGCGTTAACATTTTTTCCAATTATTTCAATCAATTTCAAGTGGAACGAATTCAATATTTGGGCGTTTTAATACGTAAATGTTAAGACTGATGTGCTTATGAAGTAATTTCGTGTGTGTAACTATTCTACCAAAAAAATTATTGCGACCTATTATCTGCCTGGAAGGCTGCAAGTGATGTAGGTAATAAAAATTAAAATATAAGTTGGGCTGTCAAGGCTATCAGTGCTTAGATACGAATGCACACTCTTCATTTCATCCTGAAATTTTTAATCTACCTCTAAGTATAAACACAGGTAATCTTATGATCGTAGTATTTTTCTGCTAAACAAATGAAGTTCAAATCTTCGTTTCAACTTTGTTTTCTGTTGCGATATTTTATCTTCCGTAGATAAGGCGGCAGAGGTTTGGCGAAAGTAGATCTTTATAAGCCCTTCGGCTTCGGTTGCGTCTGTGATGTGGTGAAATGCCGGTCACGTGAGTCGTGACTAGCCACTGAGTACACTGTCGCTTGGGCTGAGTATGACTATATGAGTATCGTCTTGTACTGATGTGGGACTGGGAGAATATTATGGATTTATGGTTGCAACTTCAACGCATCAATTCGAAAAAAAATCTTAATCGACAATTAGAATGCGTGCCACCATGCAGTAGTGATATAACGGAGTCTGATATTGTTGATGTGGACTTGATGCCTTTACAGTTTACAAATAACACTTTACAGTAGCCTAGTGAGTAGTCAGTAGTACCTAGTGAATGTGTAATACTAGGTAGCCACCGTAGCCTGTAGGCTGCTAAGCGGTTGCTTAATACGCATAACATCATATGTTGCTGACTGCTGAGGCAGCCGAGCTGCTTATTTTATTATATATTTTTTTCTTCCTCCTAATTGTTGACATAAGGAATAATTTTTGCTTGACATTTTTCAAGTTTTCCAGAGCAACAGAGTTATTTAATATCAATGATTCGAAATTTTCTAAAAATTGTTATTTTGCCAGCCTAGCCTAGGACCTAGGTAGTAGGAACAATTCAATCAAAATTATACCTATTTTCTACATTACCTAAATCTGATAAAACATGAAATTCTTAGCTATTTATTTCTAGAATCTTATACCAAACTTAGTTCCTAGTTAACTAGTATGAGTAGAGACTCATAGTGGCAAAGCAGAGAATTTTTTAGACTCCTCCTCAAGTTCATTTTTGAGTCCTATAAGTAGACCAGTAAAGTATCTTGGATACCACGTTCAAGTCTTGAGTAAATGAGGAAATTAAAAATGAACTGATTCTAAAAAATCTCTGGTTTGTCACTATGGATACCAGAATTATCATACATAAGAAATCTGTTAAAATCTTGAGTAAATGAGGAAATTAAAAATGAACTGATTCTAAAAAATCAGTGGTTTGCCACTATGAGTAGAGTAGTACTTAGCTTAGTTAGCTACTGTCAATCTATTCTGGAAATTGAAAACACCCAACTTGTGACCCAAGAGCCCCCCTGGGCCCTGGCCATAAATCTGAGGAATTTTCCTACTTTTGAATAAAATCTCGCAGCTCCAAACAGAACCAAACTGACCAATTTCTGAATTTCAATACATTTGGAATCATACTGCCTGTGCACTGTGCCTCAGTTAGAATTTTCCTAATTACGACAGGAATCTCATTACTTCACAATGAAGTTTACAAAGTGACAAAAATTTCAAATGGGGTATGGTAAACACACCATATTCCAACAAATTAAGGAGTAAGGACGTACCAAAAAATGAATGGCTATAAAAAGATCGCCATATGCGCAATTCGAGTTCTGATTGCTTTACATCACTCTCAAAACAGCAGACTATGCATCAGCAAAGATGAGACATCACAAAGACACAAACTGTTGCCATATTTATTTAAAAGCCTTTAGAATTCAAATCTACAAAATCCCTGAATTCTGACACTGTGTATGACTAAATTTGGCATATTGTGAGACTAATTCCGACAGCGCTGCAAACTCTTAGTACCAATTCATAATTCCGACATCCTGTGTTGGAATTCCGATGCCCTGTGTAAGCTGTATTGAAATACGACACAGCCCGGAATGGGCTTAATTACAAAATTTTAATCTTAATTAATCTTTTAATTAAGAGCTATTGGGCTTTTAATTGAGAAAATTTTAATTTATGAACACAGCTTGCTGAGCTTGGAATGAGCTGTGTGTGTCCAATTCCAAGCTGTGTCAGAATTAGTTTTTATGTGTCTAAAACCGTCTCATAACTTAATCATCTATTTATTTATTTACCACTTAGAATTGGCAAATACAAGTATACTTAAACTTGAAGGATTCCTAATATAATCACAGACTTATTCAAAAGACTCAAACCATAATATTCTTTCTACACAAACAGTTTATCACTATTTGGTAGAGAAAGGTCAACTATCAACTATTACACATGTTTCGATGTTCTCACTGGTTGACTTGGACTTTCGCTCTGAGGATCTTAACATTTTCCTGCCAGACCTAGTGTTTTGCAGGAATCTGGTGCGCAATAGTATGATGTCACTATTTTGGTTAAAATTCAACCATTTACGCATGTGTGGAACTAAGACAAAGCTTAATATAAAGGAAAAAGTTGAGAAGTGTCGGAATTTCCCGCGATGTCGGAATATGGTGCTTTTACCCTGATTTGGATATTTTTGAGCTAGGTGACCCTTAAAAGGACTCTCATGAGTTGACCTTTATTTCGGCTAGCATGACACACTTGTTATTGTTAGGACTTAGGAGTACATACTCACTACATAGTACATAGTAGGAGAATAGGGAAACACAGATGGGTAGAGGTGTAGAGCGGATTATGCGGATATTATAACAAATGCTAGAGCCTAGAGTAGGCATGGAATATATCTACATAGCGAGCTGTTTCTGAATTTTTTGAGCTTGGGTTTTATGGCTTTGCCAGCCGTGATTCCATTTCTTCGAACCGTGATTCCATTTCTTTGAGCGCTGTGAATTCTATATGTCGGCCATGAAAAGCCATTAATGAGCTGTGAATGTATTTACAAAGTCCTTGCATGTGTTACCTCAAATCTCTAATCTTACCCTAAGACAGCCAAACAGCAAAATTAACATTTGGCTTCACTTAAGACTTTAGTGGCTACTGAACATAGGGTAAACGCACCATATTCCAACACTGTGGGTAATTCCAATACCCCTCTACTTCTTCCTTTATATTAAGCTTGGTCTTAATTCCACACATGCGTAGATGGTTGAAATAGTGACATCGTGCTATTGCAAGCCAGATTTCTGCAAAACACTAGGTCTAGCGAAAAATGTTAAGATCTGCAGAGCTAAAGTCCAAGTCAACTAGTGAGAACATCGAAACATGCATGAAAGTTGATAGTTGACCTTGCTTTACTAAATAGTGATGAACTGTTTGTGTAGAAAGAATATTATGGTTTGAGACTTTTAAATAAGTCTGTGAATATATTTCGAATCCTTTAAGTATATTTGTATTTGCTGATTTAAGTGGTAAATAAATTAATAGATGATTGATATAAGAGACAGTTTTAGACACATAAAAACTAATTCTGACACAGGGTGTCAGAATTACGACACACAGAGTGTCGTTTACTGTCGTATTCCAACACAGCTTACACAGGGTGTCAGAATTACGATTTTGAAGCGCTGGATTGGATTGCCAGACTATAATTGAATAACTTTATTTTTCAGATAATTCTGATGTAAATACAAGCTGTCATTGAAGCTCACATGTGTAAGATTTACCTATATAATTAACCTTATGATTCATCTCATTAGACGTTTTTTGTTGAAGTAGAGGATTGAAATCAATATGGATTTTGCAGTTAGCAGTCATCGCAGGATTGCCTCCAATGTTGTCCTTGTTGTGCTGTTCTTGGAGCGTCTTGCTTACTATGCTCTGGTCTCTACATTCTACCTATTTCTCAACCGGGTAATTATTGTATATAGAGATTATAGGCCAGCCACCTTGCAGGAAGTGGCTTAGTATTTTATTTAATTTGTATAAGATGAAAAGAATTAATCAGATTTCAATATAATACTCTACTTCAATAAGATTTATTTTCATGAAATATTAATGAGTGTAGTCAGAAGCTGCTCTGTAATATTATTTCAAATTAGGTAGTGATTTTTAGATTGAATGTACTTATGCAGTAACTGTTGAAAATAAATTCCTATTTTGCTATTAAACTTCAGGGGCCTTGGGGTGTGGATGAGGGATGGGACTCTCTGGAGGCCCTCAATGCAGTCTTCATCCTACTTGGAGTCTCCTGCATCTCTGCACTCATGGGCGGGTCTGTCTCCAATTGATACATTTCTTATTGCTATATATCAATTGAAAAATTAACCTTTAAAGGGTGTTCTGTTGACGTTAATGTGTTTTCAAGCCATGGTTTAAATTTTGGTGCATCAAACACTGATATTTAGGTCCTGTGAGGATTTTTAGTATAATTCTAAAATCCATTCATTGCATCTGTGGTGATAGTTTTGAATTAGTTCTAATTATTTTTTCCATTGCTAGCAGTTGAACTGTTGTTGTTTTAATTTTTTTGCACAATAAAAAATGCTGTAATTCGTAGGAATAATATAGGTTCAACTGGTTTGGAGATCAAGAAATAATTTGAGTTCATCTTTTAGAAGTATCAATGCAATGAATCAGCATCTGATTTTAATCTCTTAAGTCATATTTAAATAGAAATTATTTATCATAGTATTAATAGATGTAGGTATATATTATATGTTTAATTATAGATGTGGTGTTAATTCTTCTAACGTAGCTCAGTGAAATTCCATTAATGATTCCATAGCTATGATCTAATCACATCACAGAATGAAGCTTTCCAAATAAACGGTTTTGAGGTCTACGTTTATCTAAATTGTCAATGCATTGCAGATATGCCTCGGATGCTTGGATTGGAAGATTCTGGGCTATAGTGTCAGGAATGGTACTCTACATTCTTGGCTACATTCTTCTCATTCTGATCACCGTCGACAAACTGCCTCGATACATCTGCACCTTCAATGCAACAGGTTAGACCTCACTGCTGGCAATCACATCTACTGCACAATGTAAATAGGTATTTGTTAAAGGATGGCAAGAATTTCTTTTAAATTTCAGTGCAAATTCTTGCTTATTTGATCATATGGTTGTTTTTGTGATAACTACCTTGAGTTCTGTTAAACCAAACAGTTGGAATGGTGGTTTTATATGTGATCCAATTGTGTGATGAAAATGTGTGTCCTGACTTGGTAACCATTAACTCGCTGATCAATAGCAATAGAATTATTAAAAATGTACTCCTATTATGTTGCAGCTCCGGGACTTGATGAAGAAGAGTTGTCAGGAGATAGTGTACACGCACCATGCAAGGCTGCTGTGTATGTGGCTGTGGTGGTGCTGGGCGTGGGTGTCGGCATGGTCAAGGCAAACATTGGGCCTTTTGGGGCTGAGCAGGTGAGCTGATTAATGTTCTCAATATCATGCAATGATTGGTTCTCAGGGTCATGATACTGATTAATGCTCAGCTCTTAATATAATGCTACAAGCCAATACTTGGTTCTCAATATCGTGCTATTGGTAATGATTGGCTCTCATAGCCATGCTAATAATCGTTCTACAAGATATTTATTTGTGTGCATTAGCTTCAGGTTTGCTGTAATATCACAATCTTCACCAATTGTCATCCCAAATAAATTGTCATTTATCAACCATGTCATCGCAAATCAAATCCCTTTTCACGTCTGTTAAAATAAGTTTCTCTTGCTACCAATAGATGGGCCCCAGCAACCAGCTGCTGGCACGCAACTTCTTCAACTGGTATTACTGGTGCACCAACCTGGGCAGCGCTGTTGGCATCGGCGCGCTGGCCTACATAGAGCAGGACAGCCCAGGCTACTGCACCAATGGCTTCTTCTGTGGCTACCTCATGGCTACTGGTCAATATTTACTACACTATACCTTCACATTCAATAGAATTAGAAAATAGTGCAGGCCTTAGATTGTCTAAATAGTGATACTTTCTTCACACAGCGTTGGCAAAGAGAAGACGTAGCATTGATATGCCATTTTGCCAGGCAAAACTGACCACAAAGGGCAAAAACTGCATCGCTTTTTGGACGAAGTTTCACTAATATATCTGAGTGCACTTTTGAAGAAATTATTTTATTCTTACAATGGGACAGTTCAAACTACCGCACAAAAAGCTTCTAATTTTTTTCACAGATATTCATGAATATTTCGTATTCCTTTGCCTGCGCTAGCAATTGCCTAACATTTATTTCCACTAGGAAGTCTACTGCCTAGAAAGTCCAGACCTCTGCTCCTGTAACGTCTTTTGTTTCTTCTTACAATGTTAGATATTTATCTCAGTATTCTGTACTACAATATTTATCTCTGTATTCTGTACTACAATATTTATCTCAGTATTCTGTACTACAATATTTATCTCTGTATTCTGTACTACAATATTTATCTATGTATTCTGTACTAGAATATTCATCTCTGTATTCTGTACTACAATATTTATCTCTGTATTCTGTTCTAGAATATTTATCTCTGTATTCTGTTCTAGAATATTTATCTCTGTATTCTGTTCTAGAATATTTATCTCTGTATTCTGTTCTAGAATATTTATCTCTGTATTCTGTTCTAGAATATTTATCTCTGTATTCTGTTCTAGAATATTTTTCTCTGTATTCTGTTCTAGAATATTTATCTCTGTATTCTGTTTTAGAATATTTATCTCGGTATTCCGTACTAGAATTAGGCTCAGTCAACGTCGGTGATGATTCCATGATTTATCATTATTTGTTCTCCTAGGTGTTCTTTTACAAAACATCGTTACCACAGGATGCCTGACTGTGGCGCTGTGCATCCTGCTGTGCCTCACTGTACCTCACATTGCCACAGGATGCCTGACTGTGGCGCTGTTGATCCTGCTGTGCCTCACTGTACCTCACATTACCACAGGATGCCTGACTGTACCTCACATTACCACAGGATGCCTGACTGTGGCGCTGTTGATCCTGCTGTGCCTCATGCCGCTGTTCGAGCGCCACCCTGCCACGGGCAGCAGTCCGCTCTTCAACATCGTACGCATCACGTGGGAGGCGACGCGACTCAAGATACGCGACCTGACCACGCCTGCTGCACAAAGGCAGCCGTCAGTGATGATGAATAATATTATCTTATCATTTAGGGTATATGAGAATGTGTCACTCTCAGTGTATAAGAATATATTACTAACAATTTTTGACGTTATCAAGATACACGACCTGACCATGCCTGCTGTGCACAGGTAGCCGTCTGTGTTTATGGATGAGATTATACATCATACAGAATATATTGAGAATATATCGCTCTGAATATTTATAAGCATGTTTCATTCATAATAAATAAGAATGTATCACTGAGAGTGATGACACCGAAAAAAAAAAAAATAGTGGGGCCCATTGTCCTCATGCGACGCACGTTAGCATGTGTCACTGATAGGATAACCCACAAAAGGGTAATAAATGCATCGCTATTTGGACAAGGCCTCCCTCAATTATCTGAGTGCAACGTTGAATTGCTTTGTTTAGAGAAATTCTAGAGCCATGCTGTGGATGTGAACGCCATTCGTGCCATCTTATTTTAACAACGGCTGAAATTTTTAGAAAACTTCCAGTGTAGTTGTTCCTGTACTAACAAATATGTGAATCGCAGTTAAATAACACCAGTCACTCCTTTGAACACCAGTCAAGTATTAAGTGAACTGCCAGTGATGTTGAATTGCTAGTTTTTTATGTTAGCAAATAATCTAAATTGTCTATCTCTGCCATTGATTTTACACCAGCCGCAAGCGTCATATAGTGTTTTCTTGTATTGTCATGCTAATTTATAGACTGGCGACAGTGTGTTTTATGTTTTTATTAAGTTTATTTTCATTTCAAGTTATTCAGATATTGCTACTCCAAAATTTCGTAAGATGAGCAAAATATACATGCATGTTGTTCACTAAACTGGGTGAATATGGAAAGTTTTTCTCTGATCACAAACGTTGAAATTTCTACGCGTTTGTTGTTGGATATACAGAGAAATTTTTGCTCGGATTACCAATATTTCAAATCTCCATGCCACTGTTGGTTCAGCCCAAATCACTAATTTGTGTAAAACATAACTGTAATGTACAAAGTTGCATGCTCTTTTTTTCTCGGATTACAAACATTTCAAATGTCCAGGCCGCCGCTGGTGCAGCCCAAGTTCCTGGACCTGGCGAAGGTGCGCTACGGGGGGCGTTTCCACGAGACCGCCGTGGACGACGTCAGGGCCGTGGGCGCCATGCTGAGGCTCTTTGCCGCCCTCTTGCCCTACTGGCTTGTCTACTTCCAGGTCTTGCATCTACTTGTTAATTTATCTATTTCTTTGGTTCTTATCTATTCGTTGGATTCAGGATTGAATAGCATTCGGTTTTGTCCAGGCTATTACTTACATAATAGGTATTTAATATTTGGCGCATCAATTACTTTTAGCGCTAATAAATTGTCCTCTAACTGTGAGAGGATGTAAGTTAAAATAGATCCAATACACTTTACTTTTTTCCGCAAATTCAATGTTTAAATATCTAATGTTTTTCTCTCGGTAATTCATAAATTTTGTATATTTAATTTTACTTATCAGGTTTGTAGAATGCACGCATAGATTTTTGTACGAAACTCTACTGTATTTATGCCAAATGCTATCGATATGAGTGATTGAAATTGGTTGTTTATCTTCAGCCATCAACAATTAAAGAAAATTATAGAAATATTATGTACTGCATTTAACCTCTGCCTCTTGATCAGAAGTTTCAGCACCCAATCGTTGATCAACAATATTCCAACAGATGCAAACGAGTTTCCAGGCTCAGGGATTACACATGCGCTTCATGATTGACATCCAAACTAACAAAACAAACTCGACCGCCGGGCCATCGCTGCGAGAATTGTTCATGAGCGTCGCCGCGGGCCACACCTTCAGTGTGAGTGTCTGGTACAGTGTGAGAGGTACAGTGTGAGGCATGCTGTACGAGGCGTACCTGTGTGAGAGGTACAGTGTTAGGCATGCCGTACGAGGCGTACCTGTGTGAGAGGTACAGTGTTAGGCATGCCGTGCGAGGCGTACCTGTGTGAGAGGTACAGTATCTGTATGAAGCATACTGTGCGAGGCGTGCAGCGTGAAGCATGCTGTGCGAGTTTACTGTGCAGCGTGAGGCGTTGTGTGTGAGGGCCCAGTATAGAGTGAGTACTGCACAGTGTGACTGGCCTGTACAGTGAGCTTAAACTAGGCATTTCTGGTTACAGAATCTGAATTGCTTAACCAATGAAGTTGAATTACCTGATCAATGTCGTCACTTGTGTTTGTGTGACCAGGTGCCGGCGGCGTGGCTGACGCTCTTCAACCAGTTCTTCCTGATCCTCGCCCTGCCGCTGCTCACCAACGTCGTGTACCCGTACTGCGACAGGCGAGGCGTCCGCCTCTCCATGCTCTGCAGGATTGGTCAGAAAACAGCCACTTCAATTATTCAAGATATTACCATATATTTCCGGATAGATAAATACCACGATATTAAGATGTATTTACATATATATTGAGGATTTATAGCCATCATGTGACCAAATGACGGTGGAATTTTTTAAGACTAAAATATGATTGCGAAAGTATTCTATAATATATACATTTGTATGTAGAACTCGTGTATATTTGTATGTATACACGTATACATTGAGGATTTATGGCTATGTTATGAGCAAGTGACAGCGGAATTTATTAAGACTAAAACATAATTCGGAAAGTATGATATAATGACATACTTTTGTATGTAGAACTCGTGCCGCGACTTCAATTATTCAAGATATTAACATATATAAACGTATATATTATAGCCATCATATGACCAAATGACGGTGGAATTTATTAGACTAAAATGTAATCTAAAACATACAATGACATGCATTTGTATGCAGAACTCGTGCCGCTATACTTATTTATATTTACCTCTCAGGAGCCGGTATGTTGGTGAGCAGCTTTGCGGTCTTCACTGCCGGGGGTCTGGAGACTTTTCGCACGATGCTGTGGAAGACTGAGTGAGTGTTGCTGCGATTGCTACATGCTTTATTTGTTTCTTTTTCTTATTTCGAGCGAGTGCTTTCGTCAATATGGACATATTTTAAAAATAGGAAAACCAGAGTGGATTTGATTCCTGTGAACTCTTCACGGGGTGCACAAGTACAAATGTACCTATTTTTTCACTAGGTGGGATTGTACTTTCGCAATATTATGTAAACGAGAATTAAATGATTGTATTTCTTTTCTTAATTAGTGAGTTAGTTTGACTCATTTTCTTTAGTTAGGCAAAGGTCAGTTGAATGACCCATATCTAACTGATGACATAACCTCCTACCTTCAATCTTCATTGTTGTATGGATGATTATATCTATACCCGCGTACGCAGGGGCTAATAAGTGCGTTTTGTATGCAGCAATTCGACGCACATCGTGCAGACGGTGGGCAACGTTACCTTCAACGGCGTCGACATCTCCATCTTCTGGCAGGTGCCGCAGTACGTCCTCGTCGCGGCGGCTGAGGCCCTTGCCAGCGTTGCTGGTACGTCGCTTCGGCATAATATTATATTTATGTAATAATATCATTGTAATTTATATTATTGATTCATTGTTGTTGTTGGAATCGCTGTGGCTGCGACTCAGAGTGCCAAGAGATATTTAGAGTGGGAGGTTAACAGAGAAGTGGATTACAAGTCTGGCTAATTTGTGAATGTAAACTAACGAATAAGTTTTTGGTTTTGCTCCTCAAAAGCTTCTATAATGCACTTACCGTGGATTTTAACTAATTCAAGGTTTATTCGCCTTCTAACCTATTACCGTAATGTTTTGCAATGGGAAAATGAACGGCATATTTTCAAGACGATCTATTCTTGCTCCTCTGAATAAATGAATACCGGTACTTATTTTTCTGCACGCAGGTCTGGAGTACGCGTACAGCGAGGCGCCACGAGCGTTCCAGTCGCTGATCATGGGTCTGTTTTACGCCATGGAGGGCGTGGGGTCCTTCCTTGGCATCGCTTTGCTGCAGATCCTCGCGCCCTTTTGGCTCAACAACATGACCGACTATGCCAACATCAACGATAACCATTTGGATTTTTATCTCTATTTCCTAGGCATCATTCAGTTCACGACGCTCATCGTGTTTGTCGTCACGAATTACGTGTCCCGCTATAGTCTGGAGCTCGTGCCCCTGCACAGCGACCAGGGAATAGGAGGGCCTCGAGACGGTCGTGGGCTGAGAGGCAGGACCCGGTACCGAGGGCTCCTAGAGGAGGAGGATGAAGAAGAAACATTTGAAGGACCACTGAGAAGGAATCAAGACCCCGGTGTTGCGGCCCCTGACGAAGAGCTTCTCGATGTCACGCGCCCTGAGGCTGGTGGTGGGTTACTGCCAGCGGATGAGAGCGATGACAGCGTCGACGTGAAAGAGTCTTCCAGCGCCGTCACGCCTGCTACTGTGCCGAGCGTCGGGGTCAGATTCGCCTGAGCATTCAACGTATAGAAGTTCATTTTAATTCACTAGAATCCGGACACGGAACTTGTCTCGTTCATGTAGAAAATTTGCAAGCAAAAGCAGGTCGTGCGTATGATTTGCTTATTAGCAGTTATTTAGGTGTATAAAATTAATTTTTTAGTAAATATAGCGTTTTGCACTTATCTTGTGCTTGCTGATCGATTTTGTTTCACGTTAAATGATGACATTGGTGGTATGCAGGGTATTGAACACTCATGCTGTATAATTATTGGGTTGATGTTTGTTTGTTTCGTTTGAATTAAAGACACGTTTATTTTAGCCATTTAATACAGACCTGCGGTGTTGAGTCGATGTGATACCACAAACGCTGTGTGTTTTTTGTAATAATGTCAAGCAAATCTTGTAGAATCTCTCTCCCACGCCGTGATATTAGAGTTAGTCTCTGCGCTGTACCTTCTTAGTAATCTGTCCTATGGCCTGTTTAGATGTGCTGCACGGTATCTCTTTTTATCTTAGAATGGTCGGATTAAGATATGCAACATAAAATATCAAACATTAAGTTGTCCAACATTAAGATATTGGAATGCGTGTGCACAATTGTTCAGCTAGCAACATGGTAGTAAATTTTAATTTTTTCTGAGTTTCAATTATTTATTCTTACCTATTTTTGAGTCGACCTTTTCATCCGCAAGAAAGTTATACATTCTGTCTCTGTTTTTATTGATTATTGATGCCACTGGTACAGTTTGGCAGTATTCCGATCTCTAATCTCTTCTGTATTTTCTAGGAACGGAATACGCTGAAAATGGTGGTTCTGGGGTTGCCAATTGACGTTTGTGTTCTATGTTTATTGGTCGAAAATGGCCTCGTATAGGCTAATTAGTAGACCTCGTATTAGCCGAAGTTGATCGCGGTTGCGCTGTTGCAACTGATCCTCTCCTAGTACTCTACTTAAGGAGGGAGCGGAAGCTAAGTGGGAATCTCAGTTACATGTTCGATCAGATTGAGTTATATCATGAACTGTTCTTTATTTATTGTAGTGTATACCGAGGAGAAACCACTCTTGAAACTATTCCTAAGTATTTTTGGGATATTTGGATTATTGTTGCTTCATGACAGTACATGCTTTTAGTGTATTCTGTGTATTATGACAGTGTGTTCTGATGCTTTCGTGATGTCGGTGTATCTTTGTCAGTGTATCTGCTACACGCATTTGGGGGGCATTGTCGTTGACTGCTCGCTGCGCATGCAAGCAGTGTCTTATTCTAATTCTGAATTAATTTAAGCTGCTGTACTTGAAATGCAAGCAAGCATTACACATTAATCGCTTCAGTGATTTTTTGTCTACTTCTTGACTATAGGAAGACCGTATGTCTACTTCTTGACTTCTATTAGACCGTATGTAATGTCCCTAACATACTATTCCTGATGTTGGGTCGGCGACACTTTATTATAGAAGCGTCTATTGTTCATCCTTTATTGTAGATTTCGCCGATGTGAAGTTGTGTTCATTTTAATCTTGAAGTTAATGTCTTCGTTGTTTCCAAAGTTCTATTCTCAATTGTGCCATCGTCGCTTCTCTCATTGCAAGTTTCATTTCAGCTTCAGTTCCACTAAAGTTTCAACTGCTCTGAAATATTCTCTCTAAACATTTAAATTGCTTCAGTTTCTCTTCAGGGAGTAATGCCACTTATCATTTTAATTATTTCTTTCATAACTTTTTCCATGGGGTCAACAGTGAAATGTTTCATCATTATTTTGTATTAATTAATGCATAAAGATAAGGCTAGAATTTTACTGCTGCCTCCATCTAGTAATACCATTATTATTTTAAGAAAATCGTACTACTTAAGTTTCATGTATTGTAATTGAGTCTATAAGGTGATTATCATGTAAATAACTACGCGCTCGTAACTACCTATGTTTCTACTTGAAGGGGCGTGCTGTACATGGTAATTGTCTGCTTCCTTTATTCATTTTAATTAAATATGAGCTTTGCTACCATAAGGCTCGTATCGTCTTCTCTTACAGAACTGAATAAAATAACGTAAAAGGGATAAAAGATACAGAACTAGATAAAATAACGTAAAATTAAAGGTATAAAAGTTGACGGTCAATCAATAGTTAACAATAAGATAAAGAAATGCAGTGCAGAATTGCTATCAAAGAAATCATCGGTCACCAGAGATGAATCAGTCACTCATTCGGTATGAATCTGGCGCGTGTGATGAGGCCTTGAGAAATGTCTATTTTTGTAATGAAATTTATGGTCTTGCAGTTAGCTTATATTTATAGCATAAAAATAATATTTGTCATGTATGCGTAGGAAGCTACATCGGTAAAGAATACAATGCTTGTTGAAGTCTCGCATACAAGCCGCTATCATTAGATGCTGTGTATCATTTTCCTGGTGATTAACGAAAAATGATTACTGCAATACATACAGAAGAATTACTCTATTGTGTAGAAAACTCGTTAGTTGATGCATGAAAATAAAAACTTGAATAATTTTTACGTAGTGCTCATGTTCTGTTCATCGAACTTGAGCAAATGTTCAAGTAGCTAATTAGAATGCATTGCGCGTTTTTTAAGTTAGGCAAGTGAGGAATTTTGGTGTCGACGTGAGGGTTGCAAATAGTTCGTTTGGCTTTGATAATCAAGGCTTTTCGATGCCTTTGCGTTTGTACTATTTCAGTCTGGAAAATCAAACCGTGCATGAAAAATCCAACCGCTTCGAAAGGCGATGTTCCTCGAAGCGCACTTAGTTTATTTTTAATTCTTAGATTCAATTTTCTGTGTTCATCTGTTTGTAGGTCATTTAACAAGAAGTTTACTTTATCTTGAAAGCTGATTAGCAAAATTTACTTATTAAGTAGTGTCAACTTTATCATTATTATTGAGAGAAAACGTTTCCGTTGCGCGGTCGTCGTCTGCTACTGACCGTTAGTTGTCAAGGCCAGCTCGTCCAGGGATACCGGCGCGCTATTCACCACGTCATAATTTTGTCTATCGAAATACATTGCGTGATATGAGTTTAAATACTACTATAACGATCATTCACGACTCGCATGCTAAGAAGCTTACGAAACACTATTGTAACAATCACTTACCACCACTATCTTGTAAAGCTCACAAATTAACTACTAATAAGTAATATAGCGTTCACTGTCGCTCCTGTCCAAGTATAGGCGAGAGTCGAAGTTGTCTGAGAGACCCTCTGACTCAGAAACAATTTTTTTTATATAATCACAACATGATGGCGCCAGATGAGATGTCCGAGAGGCCAGCTGAGAGCATAAAACAACTACCTAGTAGGTACCTAACACTGCCCCATAAAAAACTATTCGTTGCGGGAGGCTCAAAGCAGGGATTCATTGGCGAAGCTGCGATTAGAAAACATCTCCCAAATACCCAAATTACAATGCTTTTAGAATATTATAGAAACTGACGATATTGGTCTTTAGAAAATAGTTTAGATTTTACATGAGCCAGGACCGAGTGCGTATTTGGAAACTTGAATTAGATGGAGAACTTGGGTGTGAAGACTGGAACAACAAACTGTGGGAACTTGTGAGCATACGGCGCACATCTTAGAATAGAATAGAAATGTCGGCACTGAAGAAATAGGCCCATGGCCTGTTACCGATTCTTGAATTTTTCGTGACTTGATTCACAAGGGATCCGGCCTTTGGAACCCGATCTTTCCACAACTGACGACTGATTGAGATAGCTGCTTCAAATTTGACCGACGCAAAAAGCCACCTGTGTCATCAAGGCCAAATTTTATCGAAGAAAAAGGCCACCTGTGTCATCACGACCAAATTTGACCGAAGAAAATGGCCACCTGTGTCATCACGACCAAATTTGACTGAAGAAAAAGGCCACCCGCGTCATCACGACCAAATTTGATAGACGAAAAAGGCCACCTGCGTCATCACGACCAAATTTGACCGACGAAAAAGACCACCTGTGTCATCAAGACCAAATTTGACCGAAGAAAAAGGCCACCTGTGTCATCAAGACCAAATTTGACCGAAGAAAAAGGCCACCTGCGTCATCACGACCGAATTTGACCGACGAAAAAGGCCACCTGCGTCATCAATACCAAATTTGACCGACGAAAAAGACCACCTGTGTCATCAAGACCAAATTTGACCGAAGAAAAAGGCCTCCTGTGTCATCACCACCAAATTTGACCGATAACAGGACACCTGTGTCATCACGACCAAATCGCAGTCTATATAAAGAGCCGTGTCATGCTTGGCTGGGTCAGACGCTGCTTGTGCACGTGAATGTCTGACGCGTGCCTCTCTCATCACTGCAGCCCTCGATTACGAACGCCAAATAAAACGAAGCTCAAAATGAAATTGCTGTTGGTGGTGAGTAGTGATACATATTTTTGAACGATTTTATGTTACCGTAAATTTTTAGTGTATCATTTCTATTATTAGAAAGGCAATGCATTCAACATTAGCTTCGAGCATTAGTAAATAATGAGTTTGCCATGTTTTCAGAATAATATCGTATTAAAGATTGATTGTCATTAATTGCCATTTTTTCGGATTAAAACATTATACTAAGTATATGTCATTTCCGTCCAAAATTTTTGAAAAGTATTTAGTATTTTCTGTAGCGAAGTGAAGATATGAACGTTCCGTTGTCGGCTCCATAGTCTCGTGGAGGTTAGAGAAATTTTATGTTAAAACATGAATATGATGATGTTGAAACCAATGTTTACTTGTAGAGTCTGCTGGTGGCTTCCACCACGGTGGTGAGCGCTCTGCCTCACAGGGGATTTGGTGGTGGACACCACGGTGGTGGCTTCGGCGGTGTACACGGCGGTGGATTTGGTGGTGGCTTCGGCGGTGTACACGGCGGTGGATTTGGTGGTGGCTTCGGCGGTGTACACGGCGGTGGATTTGGTAGCGGGCAACACGTTGGTGGCTTCGGCGGTGGATTTGGTGGCGGACACGGCGGTGGTGGTGGCTACGATGGTGGATTTGGTGGCGGACACGGTGGTGGTGGTGGCTTCGATGGTGGATTTGGTGGCGGACACGGTGGTGGTGGTGGCTTCGATGGTGGATTTGGTGGCGGGCAACACGTTGGTGGCTTCGGCGGTGTACACGGTGGTGGATTTGATGGTGGACATGGAGGATTCGGTTAATATCATTAGTCGAACTAAATCTGTAGTTAATTATACTCAAGGCTCTCATATTTAGATAACGATAAAAAACAAGAATTGTTTATAAATATACAATGAATGTTCTTCGTCGTTTTTGGAGGCATTAAATCTGAGGCGGCCAAGCGCTGAGGGTAACGGGCTCGTCAAAACCTCGTAACAATATTCAATTTCTGGCAACAATTGATGTAACTTGTATTTTATTCCAGATGTAGAGTGACTGATTTGCATCGTCACTCTGATTAAAAATTTCATGCTGCTCGCGCCGCGACTGAAGAGGACTTTTTACTTACGCAACGTATACAGAATTAATTGAATATTTTTATGCTTCATCTACAGATATTCTAATATCCTCATTGCCAGGCATAGTGACTTTTTGCCGTTTAGATTTAATTACTATTGAGAATACGACTAATATATCTGTTGTTTATAAAACTATGTTTACTTCTCCGCCATAGTAAAGAATAACATTGCATCATGTCCTTAATTACGCATATACTCGTTGCCAGGGATATCTTGAAAGGCAAATTGACTAGGGTGGCGCAGAAGTATAGAAGGTCTCTGATTATACAGTAGAACAAAATTGCAATTTAACTGTAGAGCCTGCGTCGCACGTCGAAAATTATACCGCATAAAACGAATGTATATATAAAATATTTGATTAGAAGAATACGGGTTGAATGATACAATTATTTTTCTTTTGAAATAACAGTCGTAATAATTGAATTATTTGACACAATCTTTAATAGAATCCCAAAAGTTTCGTGAAAAGTCTAGTTTGGTCGTTTTCATTTTCATCGAGGTTTTCGAATCATTTTTCTCACAACGATTCATGTTGAATGAATTGGCGAAGCATTCGTCAGCAATGAATGAAATATGATAGATAAATCATACATACAAAAATATTGCGTAACAAATATCCATCAGTCGTTTTACTTTCAGATTTTGTTTTCGACGTGTCACTGCACATGAGCTCTACCGTTAGTGCGTGCACTGACTAGACTACAAGACAATTATTCAAACAGATTATGTCATTAACCATCCTAAACGTTTCGTGATAACGTTTGAGGGTACGGTACTGTCACAGCAAAGCACTAAATTAATTTTTATGTAGCTAGCATTGCAGCAAATTTAATGTCTTAGTAATTAAGGCATTATGTAATCACACATTATGCTATGAACGATGGATCTCTGAGACCTATAGTGGCTTACGGGTGGCAAATGTTGCAAATCTTATTCTGATTATCCTGCATTTGGCGGCAAACATTTTAGCCAAGAATAGCTCACTAAAATTCGTTTATGACCACGAAGGTGTTCACGTTCTACCATGAATACAATCACTTACCAATACTGGCACGATTATCACTGTTTGGAATCATTGCAGTCTCAACATCGATATTTCTCCTCTCAGGAGGCAGAAAATGCATACATGACCAGGCGGACTCTACACCGCATCTGTAATTAGTAGTGAAATGTCATGAATGGATCGCCTGTTTTTTTCGAATCTGTTATATTTCCTACAAAGATAAAATCTGCCCTTTCCAAATGTAGAAAGTTCTCTTTGACGCAGGAACATCAAGAGTGCGAAGAACCCTAAAAAATATGAGCGGGATTATTGAAACGATCTATGGAAGTGAAAGTTTGAGTGAAAGGAGAAACGCACGTAATACAGCCTGTACATTATACATTGATGTCTGTATATTGTACATTGATGCCAGTACATTTTACAACTGAGGGCACCCGCAACACTTCATCGTCTGTTTCGTAGACGTTACGTCATCTCGCTAAAGCTCTGGGTGGCTGAGTGGTTACGATCGTCAAGATTAGGATACAAGTTGAGGGGTTTCGAAACCTGCAACTGGTCAGGAAAATACTGGTCGAAACCGGAAAGGTAGCAGAGTGATTGCGAGAATCGGAGACACGGCAACATGTACCAAGCATCGCAGACTCCTCGGTATTATTATGTTATTTTAAAGCAATTCATTACTAGAAGAAGTAGTTGCCATCTGATTCTTGGTAGGAAAAGGTTTTGATTGACGTAAAGAAGAGTGAGAAACAATTTTTTCAAAAATATTTAAACACCCCCTTCGCTGCCACCAGTGACGAGAAGTGGGACAACTAGATATTATAACAAAAAATCTACAAATATTTCTTAATCCAATCTAATGAGAATATTAATCCGATATTAATAGATAAATATCAAGAAGTATAATCATTTTGCCATTGATAAATTCTTCGATTACAGCAAAAATTGATATCAACTCTATTGATCATCCGTAGACACAATTCTAGAACTCCATCATAGTTTTATGATAGCAATTTATTGAATTGACGCCAGTGCAACAATGCCTACGAATGTCCACCCTGCCAGCATAACGATGTCCACCAATGTCTACCCTTCCCAGCAATGGCAGGGTGGCCCAGTGGTTACAGTTCAGGGCCCATACTTTCAAAAAAAGTTAAGAGATCGTAAGTTCATCAACCAATCATTGACGGCCTTTCAAGCAAAGTCCACCAATCATAGACAAGAAAATAGTGCGTAAGTACTTACGTTCACTTAGCGAATTTTGAAAGTATGGCCCCAGAGTACCAAGATTGGCGCAGAGAGGCGCGGGTTCGATCCCAGCTCTGTTATAACGATGTACACCAATGTCCACCCTGCCAGCATAACGATGCCCATCACTGGCCGTCGGTTGATATCCTCATATGCTCACAAAAAGCCATTTCTTCTGATATAAATTTTTCCGGCATTCACATCAACTTTTCATGTCTACACAAATATTCTGAAACAACCATTAAGCAGAGTAAAGTTCTATTCATTTCGGCATTAATTAATTTGTGTAAAACGTTTTTTTTTCATTGCTGCACCCGCAATCTTTTCTCTAACTGAAGGTTTCTAAATTCGAGTTAAGAACCTCTGTTAAAACAGTATAAATGGAAGATAGTTTGGGAAAGAATTCTGACGACCTTCTAAGTCGCCGGTCGAAAGGACGTATAAACCCTTAGAGGCAGCGTACTAATTGGTAAAAATGTTCGTAATGAACTTGTGTTAAATATTTTCAGTCTACCGGTTTGGGGGAGGTTAGACAAACTCCTATACAAATCATCACATCGTAGATCTTCTCAAACTTAAGCAAAATTCAATAACCAATACAATTCCAGAGTCACAAAAATTATATTGTTCAAGTATGGCAACTAAGGATGCGTAAAAAGTGAGGATGACAAACAGGTTCTGGCACCCAAACCTGACGACCTCACCGATGATCATTACAGAAGTTTGGCCTCCGCGACGAGGACACGTGGCGACATTGCGAACGATCGAGGCACACTTTTTAGCGCATTTTCTCATACGTTTTTAGCGCATTTTCTCTTTATAGATAAAATGCACTATTGTTCTCGCCATGTCCGTCTGTCCGTCCGTGACTTCACGTTTTCGTCAACGAGAGAATGCGCTTTCTAGCTATCACTCACTGCAGTGAGTATTGAGTTATATTTTTTTTTAAATTACAACGTTACGACTGCACATAAAAGGGAATATTTTGATTAAATTTTATCTTATGATTATTATTGAAATGATAAATATTATTAACATATCTGTCTACAGGTTTCATTACTATATTTATTTTATGTACACACCGATTACTAAATGGAAGGTCGACATATCCTTGAATGTCAAGTGCTTTATTGTTTAAATACAGGTGCAATATTTTGAAACAAATTGGCAATTCACATTTTCAATGCCATTTAATACCAACTGAAAACTATTTATAAGCGAATGTTTGTTTAGAGATAGATTAAATGATGTTGAATGCTCGGTTATTTGCTTCCGCCTATCATGAATGAATCTTTTAAAAGTTTGATGGAATAACTATACATGAAAGACATGAAAACCACAGCAAATCAAAATTTTTATGTTCCAAATTAAAAACCTTTCTAGAACGAAATGTAAATTCACTGTATCAAAGTTTCAATGACTGATTTGAATTTTACGCACATATATTAAACTCAGGAGTGCAGGGTGCTAACTTTGAAAAGTTTATTTTAGAATACACTAAAAAATTGCATGTCTGAATAAAATAACACTGTATTTGTCCTTGTTGAAAAGATTGGAAATTTACCGAGAGTTCCGTTGATTTAGAAGTTTAAGTTCTCTTCCGCTTTGGCTCTATAGGTATCAACACGAGGCCATGCAGATAACTGTAGCTCGAGACTCGTTACTTGATGTCGTCAAGAATAGAAGTGTCGGCATTGAAGAAGTAGGCCCATGGCCTGTTACCGATTCTTGAACTTTTCGTGAAAAATGTGGAACGCTTCACGATTTTGCGTGTCATCCTTGCGCAGGGGCCATGCTAATCTTCTCTGTATCGTTCCAATTTTAGTATATGTACCGCCGAAGCAGGTACATATACTTAAGAATATAATGAGAAAACTTATTCAAAATAACTTGGGAGGTACATTTTTAGCTTTAAAGGATGAAATTTTTGGCATTATTGGACGTTTGGGTGTGAATTTGATATTCTTGACTTCATTTTCTCCAATTGCAAAATCTTTTTCAACAAACCCGTTCCACCGAAAATTCGAGTATTTCAATGCAATTGAATTTTCTACTTAAAAAAGACGATTGATTTAGAAGCTTGCTATTACTCTAAGCTCATTCTTCATATAATAATATTATTATTCGTCTCTTGATTTAATTCTTAATCTTTACCCGCATTAACTTTAGACTACTATCAAGTACCTACATTATGACTATTGTCGAATCCTGTTATATTTAGTTCATTATGCGATCTATGTTTGCATGTTTTGAGTTACTTACATGTGAAGATTTTCCATTCGAATTAAATGTACGCAAATAAAATGCCAGTCCAAAACGACAAAGAGATTACGCAATAAGCCTTTTTCATAAATTTCTCAACAACTTTTTAAATGCTTGATTCTGAAAACGCGTCCAACCCTGCAACCGACGCTTAATATCGTACTACTCGTAATTGGCATGGCTCTGCTCTTCGTTACCAAAAAGGTAATCCCAGTTAACGTTACCTCTGATGCCTCACTTCCGCAACGTAGTCAGAAATTCCTGGAATTTTTTCAAGGCTACATATGCTAAACTCCGAGTTTTATCCCGCAGCTTGGTTTTCCTCGGAGTGTATGTATATACGCATGCCAACAAACAGGTTATTAGCTACGTGCTCAAGATGCGTTATTTAAGCAAATGCCCTGACGAAGCTGCCACCACTTGTGCTGCTACCGCCACATCAACAAGCAGGATCGCTCCTCAAGTTCTAACTCTCTCAGGCATCTAGTGTACCTTACACACACCACTACACGATGAAGCTGCTACTAGTGGTGAGTTGTGATGCTCCACTACTGCACAATGTTATTCTATATTCTAATGACATACTATCTACTTATGAAAAATATCGGATTACTCTCTGAAATAATAAACTTTTGAGGCCTTGAGAATGAAATAACGATCGTTGAATACTTGTTGCTTACATTTAGAAGCACTTTAACTCGCAAAAACACTAATAACTTAATATGAACAATCTTACTGCGCATGCCACTTGTCTGCTTTAGTTTATTAAAGTTGTGAAGATAATAACTTAATATGTTATCATATATCATATCATTTTATCTAATTTAAGCTTCACTTATTCAACAATTTCTTCCACGAATGAGAAGTTTTATCGCTATGAATATTTTGTTGCAGATTTTGCTGGTGGCTTCTGTTGCGTTTGTGAGCGCTCAGCCCCAGTTTGGTGGCAGAAGAAGAGGTGGATTTGGTGGTGGACGTGGAGGTGGATTCGGTGGTGGACACGGCGGATTCGGTGGTGGACACGGCGGATTTTCGGTGGTGGACACGGTGGATTAGGTGGAGGTCACGGTGGATTCGGTGGTGGACACGGTGGGGGACACGGTGGATTTGGTGGTGGACACGGTGGTGGATTTGGAGGACACCATGGAGGACATCATGGACGTGATACCGTAATTGGATTGGGCCCTCTAGGTCACGTCCACCTCAACGAAGCTGGCGCACAAATTCATCTTGGACGATAAAAAAACCGAAAAGTGTTTTATATTTATTGTGATCAGTGCCATATTAAACCTAATTATGACAAAAGTATAATTGCAACCAGTGACAGTAGGTAAATTCAATCAAATAATGCTAGTTCGTTTTACTGGACCATGACTTCTGTTCGGCAGACATTACTCACAATTCTACTTCGCGGATCGATTAATTCACGGATGCCATTTCCTCCGGATGCTACTAATTAAATTTTCGTATTGAACATTTTTTAGTATATTGTGGGTTTCGGTGACGACTTTTTCTGCTACACAAATGGTAATTACATCACGACTGACGTTCATAGTGGCTAAATGGCATTAAAGGGCTTAATCTCGACAAATTTCGATTTATCGAAGATCCTTCCAGGTGACGCATTCATAAATCTTGTTGGGAACATGTCTTGCTTGGTGAGCAGCATTAAAAATATTAATTATTTTCACAGATTAGGTTTAAAAAGCCATAAGTACTTGGCTCGAAAAAAGGACAAACTAAAGCAGTTAAATTAATCAGAAGCAAGTCTGAGATCTCATGATACATGTTTACTACGAAATGGAATTAAAATCTTGATCATTTTTGTGAGAAGCACTTTTCAAATATTTTAGAGGCTAACGAGCGTTATTGTTTTAATTGTAATGGGAGCTTTTTACATTCAAACCCAAAAAAACTTTCTGAATGTCGACGAGAAAACTGCATTTTGTATTATTAAAAAATTTGTGAAAGGCCCCAAATGTGTTAAATGCGATCAAGTGAGCTGTGTTCAAGAGAACAGTGTGTTCATATTATTGTTGTAGTATGTCATGGCATTGTGTTCATTGCTTATTAACTGCTAAAAAACATAAATGTTTACTAAATAACTACGTAGGAACGAAGAGTGAATGCAAAAATTCGCTGCATTCATTAAAATGTCTTCGAAAATATGCGAGCATAACCTTTGAAAGTGCTGGATTTTCAATGGAAGCCTGTAACAGAAGTATAGGTATACCGTAACTTACTAATAATTTCAGTTTGGGGAAGTTCACTCTTGTAGCCTTGCACGTTCAAGGACATTTTTTTCTCTTTTTTTATAATCTTTTATTTGTCCTTACTCAGAACAAGCTATTCATGTTGGGAGAACATAGCCGGGAACAATACTTTTATTGCCTCCAACTGATTTATTTGCGTTACTTGCGACTGATGATATACTGAAGGAATTGTTTTGTTAATAAATTATTCTCGTTTTTGACTTGTTAAGCCGGGAATGGTGGCTTTGAAAACGTAGCATGTCATTTCTTATTTGTACAATTCATTTGTAATATTTTTCTTTACAATCGAAATAGGATAATTAAAACATTTGAAACTTAATCATTTAAAGGCAATAAACTTCGTTTAAATATGATCGTTTATTTTAATTCTGTGAACAGAACGATCAACGAACTAATATTTGAACAGAAGAAAGGGAAAATTCTGTGTAATTGAAATATTCTTCAATATACTTATGAAAAAAATACCCAGAAGCACAAGTGACTTACGAAAAAGTGGAATAGACAAACCCCAAGATGGCTGAATTTCTTGTATATAAACTGAAATATATGTAGTGGACGCTGCACCTTTCATGACATCGTAGATTATATAGTTCGAATGATCTCTCTATTTGTGCACAATTATAACGATCATACGCCACACTCTGAGTGTTGATTGTCACACGCAACACTCTGAGTATTGATTGTCACACGCCACACTCTGGGTGTTGATTGTCACACGCCACATTCTGAGTGGTGATTGTCACATTTGATTGTCACACGCCACACTCTGAGTATTGATTGTCACACGCCACACTCTGAGTGTTGAGGCATCGTGCAACTGAGACTGGGCGTTAGAGTTTGCCAGCGCTCATAAAATTGCCACCTGGTAATAATAGTAATATATAATAAAAAATAATATTAATATACTAAAAATGGTTTGTACTTGAGTTTACAGAACAAAAATGGAATTCAAGTTATAATAAATGTTAAACAATTCAAGAGACTGTGGCTACTGATTACGGATGGCAGTTGCGCTTCTAAGAAATGCATAATAGAATTCGAAAGAGATCCCAGCAGTTAAAAGTTGACTTGGAGTTACTTTAAAACTCTTTGAATGTTTTTTTGTTGTAATACGAGGATAATGCAAACAATTATCGGAGAAAAAAGTACATTCTTTTCAAGTTTACCGTGATCAGATGGATTTTTTAGAGGAAATTTCGAGAGAACAGAAAGATTAAAAAAAGATTAAAGAAACAGAAAGATTTAAGTTCAGAGTACCAAGATTGGCGCAGAGAGGCGCGGGTTCGACCCCAGCTCTGTGCGCCAGTTTCTGGTCAGAATCGGCAAGGACCGCAAAATGCTGTGCCGATTGCGGTCCTTCGAGACCGCAAAATGCTGTGAATGTTCTGCGATGTTAGGAATCGGCGACAGGCCTACGGCCTAATAAACGCTGAAACCGCTATTATTATTATTATTATTATTATTATTATTATTATTATTATTATTATTATTATTATTATTATTATTATTATTATTTGGGGGCTAGGACCCCCCCCTCCGCCGCCTCAAACTTTGCCCCGAGGTGTGAGCTCAACTTGGACACCTCAGGAATGTGGTGCAGCAACATATATAACCTGAATAAGTTGGAACGATGAAAACAAGTTAAATAAACTAATTGCTTTCGCGAGGCAGAATATGCAAATATATTTAGCCAATTTTGATGTACTTTTCGCGGATCTAACAAAAGTAAAGATACAAGTGTACTTAGGTGCCGTACTAAGTTCGATGGAAGGAAAAACTTAGCAATGGAGGACTTAGGAATACGAGTGAAATACGAGTATGCTGTTTAATGAATAATGAGTCAATGTGTTCAAATCGTTAAGCTCTATTGATTGTTCGTATATTAAAATTATGTAAGTGGGTACAGCGAAACTGTTTGTTATGAAAAGTTTCGATTCAGTTCAGTTTAGAGCAGTTGAACGGTAAAAATTCATTGAAAAGACCTGCACCCACAAACACCCATGCAGAAACGCCTCTCCTGCAAAATCGAACGAATTAAACTGCGAACATCAGCTATGCAAGTTATCCATTCAAAGTTCTTATACGTCAGCTCATTTTAGAGGATGAGATTAAAAAAATATCTGAAATATGTTTTTCTTACATGTACACAGTATGTATTATATTTTTGTAATCCCGTTTTGCGAGCGGGCAGTGGAAGGTAGAACTGAAATTGTTTTTTATATTGATGTCATTAATTCATAGTGATACCTGGCTTGTAATTACGACTTGTACAAGAAACGCTTCATGTGACTAAAGAAAACTGATCACATATTATCATCTCAGACATCCACCTCAATAAAAAGTTTGTGAAAGACCTCTGGTAAGTTAGCCGTGATGCTCAAAGACCTGTTTCTGTTCTTGGCTTCAGATGAATAATTTTATAGCTGCGTCCGTTTCTTTTAAAAGGATTCTCTGTTCAGATAGCGAGCATTAGTCAGTCAATAATAAAATGCAGAATTACCTTTTATCACTTCACACTCTTATTTTCGTTTATCCCATCGCACATTTCTGAATTATTTCTGATGTATTAATCAATCATTTTTTAAAGAAAACTTTTGAAGAAAATTAATAACTTATTTCTTCACAAAAAATTAATTGTATATGACAAACAAAATCATTAGGAATACATTCCTCAACATTAGGTCCAGCTAAAGTTTTATAGGTATAGAATAAGAAATTGAAAGGGTAACATATAAAGAAGAAGAGGCACAATAAACGAATAAACAGGAAGAGGGAGTGAACGTACAACTAAGTCTAACTAAACGACATTTTTTAAATGCAAATACGAACAGAAATAATTCAGTTATTCCATTTAAATAAATATTCATTCATTCGACCTTTCAACTAAATATGTGCACGTTAAAAATATATCATGTGTGCTCGTTTCTCCTGCACTGACAATGAAGTTTCTGATGTTCACATTAAATAGATTCAATGTAATAATTTGTGTGGTAGATTGTGGTGCTGGCGCTAAAGTTAAAAATTTTATGTTTTCTTTATTCCCCATTAACCAAAAAAATTACTTTATAATATAAAGATTCACGAAATTATATTTTTTCGACGCAGTAAGATTTTCACAAGCATTTTTAAATAACTGAATCGCACTAAAAAAATACCTATTCTGTCGCGGTGTGGCAAAATGGTCTTGATTGGAGTTACGAGTTGCGGGTTTGAGACTGCAGCAAGATGCGAAATTCTGCTATATCAGCGAAAATAATCAGCAGGTAGCCAGATGGGTCCTAATTTTCAACGAAGAAAACACCATACAAAATATATATTTAGTAATTTTGTATGAGTAGAATTAATTATTTAGTTGTTGTTAATTGATCTACTTTCCATGTTATTAAATTTGAATAAATTTTGCAATGTTCTTTTGTTTCTTTTGAAATTTCCATGAGAGTATTCAAGAGTCTGGAAATACTTACTTTATTCGAGTACACATGATTTTTAATATGTAAGTGGACGTAAACCAGACTTATAATCCCTATCCTTCACCGCGTCAGTTGGCTTAGAGCGTCGGTAGAGATTGGGTGTGCGCCCCGCGGATCTCTAATGATATTTTGGTTTTTGTAATGAATCACAGCTGGTGTTTATAATAGTGCTCTAGTTTCACATCCTTATTGCAAAGACAGCTCAATCATTCCCGTCTCATTATTATTGGACACGATTTCCTTTTTGTAGGTCGCTGATTTAGGCCATTTTTAAAGTGCCTCTAATTCTGTATTATTTACAAGTCTCTGTTATTTTTTTTATTGCAACATTTTTATTTTTATGAAGAACTCTAATTCGGTGATTCACTTACTAATTGTTACTTTTCTTACTAGTTAATTTGCAAAAAATATATTCCTAAGAAAAAAATTACGGATGCTGCTTCTTCCAGACTTTCATTATAGTGTTCAATTGTATCTAAGGAAAAATTCACATTAATTATAAGTCACAGTGAATTCATAATTCAATTGTATATATAATAGACCCGCCATGTCTTCGGGTTTCCGCCTAATTACTGGGGTCTCTGCGGCTCTGATGTCTCTGCTCAGTCCTGATAATCTCGGCCCCGTATCTAACGTCAGCAGATGCGGTGCAGCGTGTATCAGCGACCCTCGATGCGGTGGATTCGTTTTTGATGCCAACCAGGTGAGGGAAAATGAATACGTTAATAGATTTTTAAAAGAAACTTAAAAGAAACTACCTTATATATGGCTCAATATTAGGAATTTACCTTACGAAAAACTGCTTCGTGCGTTTGTTGCGGTCAAAATTTCAAGTCGTTTTTTATTCAACACTTTTCAAAATGTTGGAACATGGAATAAAAAATGAACGGCTATTAGCTCTGATAATAACCAGACCAGTTTTCTAAAAGAAGTAAACGGTCGATTCGCATTTATTGATTTCAACTGAACGGGATTCCTTGATACTTGAATAAGAAATTATATCTAGTACAACTTCTAAACAACACTTGACTTTTTTGCAGTCATTGATGTCAAGTTGAATTCAAATTTTCTCCAAGATAATGATGCTAAAATCACCATTAATTTCATAATACCGGTATTTTATTATTATAATTCTTCATTTCTTTTCCCGTAAATAATCTTTATCTATTTGGGACGTAAAGTTACCGATAACCGCGCTGACGGCACTGCACGACATGTAGTCAAAACCATCATCCTTGGGACTACCCAAGGTAATCCCAAGGGGGTTTACCTTGGGTAATCCCAAGGGGAATTATCCTTGGGATTACCTTGGGTCAAATTTACCTGCTGCTATCGTATTTAGGCTAAATGTCAATGACCAATTGTTTACCCCGTAGCCTGACCTATTCACCCCATCTCCTGAATGGTTGTTCATCCCATCATCAAGCTTGTTGTTAACCCAATTATCTATTATTCAACCCATCAGCTAACGTGGCGTTCACCCCATCATCCGACCTGTTATTTCGCCGTGTCAGTTCGTGGTGGAAGCGTATGAAAGTCGCGCGGTGTCGGCCTTCGTCTCCGATGCTTACATGATCACCGCCTACGACGGCAAAACTTTGGTTGAGATCAACGCTCCATTGCACATGTCCTGGCAGTAAGTTAAATTATTTATTCAGAAACGTTAAATTTCTGAGATGTGTTGTGTTGTTATTTTATTTTACATGATAATCCTTTCACAATGGTGTTTCGTGTTTCTTGGACGAGACCAAATAACTAATACGGAAACGCTTAAATTTTCGATTATCTAATTAAATTTGAGAAGAGAAAATCCTCCTGGCAAACTTAGCAGTGTATTATTCTAATTAAGCAATATCTAATTCTGGGATTTAAACTATAATATATGTAAATTTATGACGAACATTTTTTCAAATGTGAATTTTGCTAAGAACTTATAATGTGAATGTTACAGTTTAGGTGTGAAACGTTCTAAAAGGGCAATCATTTCTGGGCATTATTCAGCCGATGAGGAATTTTCTTTGCTTTCAGACAAGCATTCGACGAGTGTGCAGACAAGGGCACGACACTCGTCACTTATCCACGTACTCTAAAGGTATTCAGCTAGAATAATTTGAAAATCATCCCTTCTTAGCTTAATAAATAGAAACAATTTCATGTTCTTGTGTTATGTTCTCTAATCTCGATCATGAATTTCATGAATGTGATCTGAAAACATCGTTCGTAAAAGCAAAAATTTGAATGCAAGATAACTGACTATTGACCAACGAGATCAAGTGACACAATTTTGTGGTAAATTCATGTAATCCACCTTAATTCAGGAACGAGTTGCTCTGACCATCAGACGTCACCGATGGTTCTACGTAGACCTCCAGCGTCAGGACGATGGTAGTTACTCGTCAGTCAACACAAACATGGTCCTACCAAGCGACCATGACTTCCAGTGGCTGCGAGGTAACCCCAATAATGGGACTCAGAAGTGCATCGGGATGGGAGGTATCCCGATGGTAGTGTACGACTATCCTTGTAACTTGGTGGATGAATGGGACTTTAGTCTCTTCTGCCTCGCTGAATGATCCGGAAGTTTTCTCGGGATCTTGCATTATATTTGCCAACAAATTTTGCTTCCATTAATAAATTTATTATTAAAGCATTATTGTTTTCTTGTCCGTACCATCGTAAATGACACACTAGTCGGCCCTGTTTCTAAGTTGCCATTCACTTTTAAGATAAATATTTCTTATGAACAAAAATGAATAAGCATTTATCGTATAATTTAAACTATCTCAGTATCATTTAGCATGATTGCAGAGAAAATTTGATAATTATTATAAAGTTCTTATGACGTCAGACATGAAAAGTACTGCTTTGTGGAACTTGACTCTGGGACTCAATTAGCAAGACGATCAGTCCCGAGGAAAAAGCGACATTCAATAAACGCAAAGTTGTACATTATTTAAGCCCGGCAGCCCAAGGAATTGATTGCCAGCTTAGCTGGGGAGTATACACTATATTGTAGTTGCTACGTAAATAATGATATTGCAAGGATAGCATCCATATTACGCGTTCTGTGAGCGTTCCAAGGATGAAAAGGATTCAGATTATGCGCCCTTTTTACTAATAATAAATATCCATACTACGCGCTCTTTATGCGGCTCACCAATTATAAGTATACAGAATATGTGCGTGGTAAACACTTCAGGACGGTGAGAAGAAGCTGGTGATTGCAGACTACTTCTCCCGACACCATTACGAATAGGCCGCGTTTAGCCTGTTGCCGACTTTCGACGTTCGGGACTCGTATCCAGCTGTAAAATCCGGTTTTATGACAAGACCTAATTAAAACTAAATTTGTATCATAAATATACTGGTTTTTACCAGTTAGTGACGTTGAGAAATGCAAATTTTTTCTAATGTTGTATACCGTTGCATATTCCAAGCACAGTTCATAACCCTTTCATATACGTATCTTTAACGATTTGTGGTTCATCGAGGTGATCATCCATTTCATCATTGGTTTTATACTATTTTTTCGCACCATAATCATTATATCCTATTAACATAGTAAAGACGGTGTAAATATTTCCATGCCAATCAATGAACGCAAGTTTCCGCAACTCTTAATTTTGCAGATTGGTTTGAACGATGTCCAGGCTAAAGGCAATACGGCGTAAGATGATCGTGAACTTTGCAGTAGCGTTTCAATTGCGGTAGTTGTATTTAACAAAGAATATTTTCTAGATATATCATTTTCTTTGACGATTACGCCAATAGTATAAGCAACCTGCAACAAAATACTCGGGAGATAGAAGTGGCAGATTGTATCAATATCAACAAACTCGTCGGCATAACGGGAAATTCATGACCATAATACATTGCTCTGAGGATATATTTCGATACGCATCAAATTTACTTTTTATTTTACAGATCAATTATTAAAAAATAAGTAGAACGAAGGTAAATGCTTTGAAGCGCTGGGGCTGGAAGGGTTGGGTATGATGGAATAGCGATTAAGGTGGAAGAGTAGTGGGCTGCAGAGGGAGGGGCAGTGGGCTGCAGAGGGCGAATGGGCTGCAGATGGAGGGGCAGTGGGCTGCGGATGGAGGGGCAGTGGGCTGCAGATGGAGGGGCAGTGGGCTGCAGATGGAGGGGTAGTGGGCTGCCGAGGGCGGGGCAGTGGGCTGCAGAGGTCTACAGAGGGCTAGGGTTTAAGCAGCTCTGTCTGCTTAGCGGCCAGCAGTTCGTCCACAGTTCGTATGCGCTCGTCCAGTAGCTCCTTTACCTGAGGGCAGGACGCATGCTAAGGAATTGGGTTCTGTGCACTTTTGTGAACACATAGTGCCATACTATCAAAACTCGCTCAAATACACACTTGCTGCACCTTGAAAAGATACCTACACAATATATGCCAAGTAGGTATGTTTGATCTCAAAACCTGCTAAGTACATGTGTACAAGATGGCGGAGTACATGTGTACATGTGTATATGTGTGGCGGAGCAGCTAAATATAGTCTACACTACGTGAAAACGTAGGTACGAAATATATGCCATGAAGGTCTTCAAACCAAACCTTGAAAACGCACGTACTAAACATATGCCAACTACGTCATCTTGCCCCACCTTGAGCGTGACTTTGAAGATGAGGTCACTTGAGACCTGCCCCTCCTTGCTCTTAACCTTCCTGACGCAGGCATTGTGTTGTTGCCGTAGCTCGTCCTTGCAGCGCTGTCCCAGCACCTTAGCCTTCTGCAGCAGTCCTTCCCGGTGCTCACGCGTCACTCTGTAATTGGCAACTTATACATTCTGCACCACACGCTATACTGAACCACATGCTAAACTGTATTATGCACCACACGCTATACTGAACCACATGCTAAACTGTGTTGTGCACCACACGCTACACTGCAGCAGCATTTGCCGTTGCTCTCACGTCACTCTGTAATGTGCACCACACACATAACTGTAGCATTTGCCGTTGCTCTCACGTCACTCTGTAATGTGCACCACACACAATATTGGACAGTACGTTACACACTACACGTGTGTACCATACATTTCACTGTGCCACAAGCTACATTGCAACAGCGCCTCCAAATGCACCCGCATGACCCTGTAATGAACTACAAGCTACACTGAATGCTACACTTTCCTAAGCTAAGGCCCCCACTGGGCACCCACTTTGGGAGGGGCACGGCGATGCGGGTGCCCTCTTGCTGGGGGCTGAGATTCATGCCAGAGGCGAGGATGACGTCAACAACACCCTTGGTCGCCTGGGGGAAGGCAGAGCAGTCGAGCACTACCAGGTGAGGACCTTTGCGGTGCACCTGTAACACATGGTAGTGAGAGCCAGTGGGGAATACATGAATTTAATTGGTGCACAGGTACATATTGAATAATAAAATAGAGGTAGCATGTAATAATACTTTTTAATGGAAATGGTAAAAGTTTTGTTTTCTGAGTTCTGACAGTTTGCCACTAATAACAGAATTTTTTGCAATTTTTAAACCAATATTTATTTGAACTTGGCTTATCAGTTATTTTTAGCTTGGCTTATCAGTAATCAGGCCCTCACCTGAGCAATCTCGCTTAGGGGAAAGGTGTCGCCTTCCAACTCCACTGGCAGCGCCTCCAAACTGCCTCAACACACCAAGCATTATTGCAGTAATATAATATTGGCGCATTCCTGCAGTATATTAGTATATTCCTGCAGTATCCTGCAATAGTGCTGACAGACCATCTCAATAAAAATGTTTCATTGCAATAATTAGTTTTAGATGTGGCAGACTGCTTACTAACAGCATGACCATAACAATTGCTCTATTGTACCAAACTCAAGTGTGAGGTTTTATAAAGATGCAAAAAGTTTAAAGCAAACCTTTCATAGCTCTTCAATTTTTGTTGGTAACATAAAAGGAATAACTCGCAAATTAATTACCAATACAACTCCCAACAAGATTGCAATCACAACATACAAATATGACCACTAGTACTCAAAACCTGCCAACATATTTGCAGAACTCACAACTTACCAACATTAGTTCTGACAGCAACAGCAGAAATAAGTTGCTGCCGGAAGTCTTCAACAAGACTGTCCATTTCCTGAAGCAGCTGCTTTTCATTCACCACTGAGGACATTTCTTCTGCTGTCAAATGGATCACTGACTTGCCCTTGCCTGCACTTCAATCCAGCCTTGTAGCTTTCATGAGGATTATTTTCAAGTGCAAATCAAGATGCACATGAATAATGATAAAAAAATCTATTGTTTGATCATACCAGAAGCAATAAATTTGCTTTTAAACAATGCAGGCAAAGAGACAATATTTAAGGATCATTAATGAATATCATGGTAACAATGAGGCTTGATCACAGCCTAGCACAACCTTATGAAGACAAAAAATCACATGTATAGCAAATCAATTACAAAAACATGTCCTAAAACATGAAATAAATTTTTAGAACAAAGACGCTAAAGAATTTGCAATTACTTGGAGGCTTGGAACCTTGTTATACCTATACCAAGTTATGTTAAATTTAGGATTTTCACAAGTAAATATTGGTACCCAAGCCAGTTTTATCCTGATAATAGTGAAGAAAAAGCTGAAAATGTCAGGTTTATTCTAGATAAACCACCAACAATAATCAAATTAGCTCAAAGTATAAAAACAGTTCTTACCTTTGCCCCCACCCTTGCTCTTGGACATCCAGCGAAGACTGAGGCACTGCATGAGGGGAGGAGCATGCCATGCAGTGCCAGTATTTTCTTTGGAGACCAAGCCTGGTACACTTAGTGGCAAGAAGATACTTGTTCCTAAAAACATTGGCCTTACATGCCTCAAGAGATGAGATTTCAACTCAGCCCGTTTTTCAGAGCATGAGTTCAACAAGCTACAATCTACAGAATGCGTGCGCAATGATTTGTATGGAGCAATTTCATATCTATAATAATTAATTGAGAGGCAGTTGCGTCTCACTAAACCCAAATGTTGACTGGGTAGTTGAAATTTTGAGGATAAATTTAAAATAAAGGAGGCTGCCATGAAGTATGTCTTATGGAATTTAGATATCAACAAATATACTCTGGAATAGAAAAGGATCAGGGAATTATATAATTTTATATATTGACTCTGTGAGAAGTTTAGCATTACTTTTTTCTATAATACAAATCCCAAAGAATGTTTCAAATTAACCATTTTTCAATGAAATTTGAATTCTCAGACAAAATCACTTTGTCAAACTATATTTCTTTGTACAATATACACATATATATATTTGATGTTTACATTGAAAATTTTTCCAGAGAAATGGTAACGAACATCTATAAATGACATTCAAAATTGCATTACCTAAATACTAAATGCACAATGCACATAACAGCTAACTGCAGCACTGGACTACCATACACTAGAAGTGGCAATTGTGGTCTGTGCCACTGTGCCAGTCTCTGAGCCCTGTGGCACAGTGACACTGTGCCATGCACTGCCATTTATGCTCAAGAAACTAATGTGATGAACCAATGATTCCCATATAATATAATTGGCAACTTACAGACACTGTACTTGTAGTCAGTGTAGTGTTTAAAAAAGATTGCTGAATGTGCTTTGTCAGTGTCACAAGATTCACATCACTCATATGGGCCTTCTATCTGCAATTTCTGCATACAGCAACATTTTAGTATGGTGAACTAGGTGAAGTAAATAAATATAAATTTTAGGACTTGGGTGAAACTGATAAATTACCTAATTGACTAATTCTGTAGTAAAACATATATATTTCTCCATTAGGCCAGTACGCATCTGCTCAAGCCCAATTCTGCTGCACATTCAAAAAATTAGCACATCTGTGATCTGTCTGTGTCAAGGACTGAAGGTCACATTATCACAGAGGTTCCCAAACTTTTGCAGCCTAGTGCAGTGGTACCCCCTTGGCCTTTGGCTACCCAGTGAATTCCTAGTGCCCCCCCCTCCCACACCCACAGACAGTCAGAAATGTAATATTTACATACATAATATACCCCCCCCCCACAAGCACACAAAAACACAGACTTTGAATATTTGTAAAAATTTACACTAGAAACCCAGCCTCCCAGGACCCATGAGAAGTTAAAAAAAACAGATCTGGGTAAAACACACATCACTGCCTTTGTAGGGAGTCATGTGTTGCACGGTTGCACCTGTTGTGTCACTTGTGTGAATGTGAGCAAATTGTCAAACAAACATTCAAACTTCTGACTGCCAACCCCGGGGGCCCCTTCTACCTGTGAGGCTGTGGCTACCTCCCCTTTCTTCCTCACCACCTCCCACAGCCCACAGATCTTCCCCCCCCCNCCCCCCCCCCCCCCAGCACAAGGGGCACTGCCACTTTGGGAAATTGGGAACCACTGCATTATCACAAAGTGAATGTCTTACTAACACTCTGACAGTGGCACACAAGACACAACTGACAGTCTGACACAAGTCTATGAGACTTTTTTTGGACTAGTAACATCTGCCTGAATTTATTCCTGGTCCCTGGATACCAGCATTAGGCTATATCATTGATATTGAATAAAATTTGAAACTAGATCAGGAAATGGAGAAAAAATCTCTCCACTCTCATTAGCCAGTAAGCAGAGCTGAGCTGAGGGAAGTGAAATTCCCAATTGGTCCTGGAAAGTGGAGCACAGGCATGGATAACTTGGATAGGTAGTATTCCACACCTGCTCCCTATCCAAACTCCAAAGTAGGTGGGATTTTTTTTTTTTTTTGATTTGGGGTCCCTATTACCCCATCCTAAGAAACTATGTCCCCCTTGTGCTGCACAGCAACATCTAAACGGTAGACAAACTCGTCCCAAAGGGAGTACCCCCTCCCCCCAAGAGCAAAGCAGTATAAGTCTAGAAGATGAAGGCAGCGGCCACAGTGCCCCAACTCCTCAAGAATTGGGTGCTACCATTCACTGGCCACCGTCGCTCTTGCCGCGTGACCTGCAACAGCCACAAAAGAGTCGCCGCAAGAATGCAGTGAATCTCTTCCCCCTTTTGGGGGGCGGCACCTTGCTTCGGCTCAGGCTCAGCTCTGGTGCCAGGTGGTTCACACTTCACCCATGACCATCACTCATCACTGAAAACAGATCCCAGCTACTCTGCTTCTGGGATCACCTCACCAGAGCCTCGCCAGTCCAACATGCCTTAGACTGACACAGAAGAGCACTCCATGAGCTCTTGAAAATTACAATCCAATTAATTCTCAAACGAAAGGTGTTTGAATTGAACAGACAGTCACTTAGAATTGTTAGCTACTTATATGGTAATGAATAAATTTGTGGCATATACCTACTATATAGTTGTAAGTTGTCTGCTCACCCAATTTGGAAGATATCCTTCCCTATTACTATTTTCAATCGTATCTAATATACCCATTGACTGCATAGGGGCAAATCAGTGATTTTTTAGAAGCCATTCATTTTTATTTTCTAATTTAGGGCTACTCAAAATTTAAACCAATATCTTATGTATGATGATGCTGGTATCCATGATACTTAACTGGTCTACATATATGACCAAAATTGAACTTGAAGGAGAGTCTAGAAAACTCACTGCTTTGCCACTATGCCGGGCATCAAGCATCAACTACCTAATAGGTAAATGGGTCGCCTGCCGAAGGCCACCACTCAGGCACTCACCACTGCCCTGGGCCCCTCCGCCCCTGCATGTAATGGAGGTATTAGTATTACTTTAGATTAAGTGAATCCAAAAAAGTGTGTTTTTTAAATTATATGTTTTTTGGGGTGTAGATTAAGAATCTGAAATCCGTTTTTGGAGGTCGGCATCGGAAATTTTTAATGGAACCTGTTCCCAACTGGACCTAACCTGCGAGGTTTTCGGCTAGGTTGATCGGCTAGGTTTTTTTTCAATGTTTCGAGTCCGTCCGGCGGCCGGAAAAACCTAGACCTAAAAACCCCTTTTTTGGATGCACTTAATCTAAAGTATTACCGCAATCTGCTCATTTATTAGGTCTCAGGGCTGGAATCGATGAGTTTTGCCAATGAATTCTTCAACAGCTTTGCAGATGTGCGGCCAGGCAGGGCAGTTGGAGGTGTCTCCTCCCAGCAGTGAAGCAGTGCTGAGTGCAAACTGTCAATGCCTACGAAGTCAGAGACGGACGTTGCGGAAGAGCGTTCCATAATTACAATATTTTATATAGTGGAATATCGTAATAGTAATTACAGTATATGAAAATTTAGCATTCACATACTTCAATAATTTGTATTTTATAGTAGTAAATTTAAATAGCGCTTTATTGTAGGGTTTAAAATTGTTGCCCAATACTATATATAATAATTATATTTCACAAATAATGGTCGTGTAGCAACCCGGTGCTCGAAGGAAAAAATTTCGAAAAAAGTAAGAATTTTTATACCGATTTGGTCGCAAAGAAAACAAAATTAGTTATATATATGTTATTCGTTTTTCAGTGCGATAGTACATAGATACGCTCGCATCCGACACCGCATACGGCATACATGCGACAGGAAAGCAGGCAAGGCGAAGATACCTCAGAAGGATGCCAACTTGTCAACAACAGGAAACTCCATTTGAACTGCAAATTACTCCTGGTAGACTGTTACGGCATGTTTAAATTGATGACACTTGATTGTTAAAATACTCTTTACGTAATAGAATCATCGAATTATTGTATTACATCTTCATAAGATAGTAATTTATAAAGATATTGTAAGCATTTGACCATATGATATAACAAATAGTTTATAAAAAATTTGAAAGCTCTTATTTTTGTTTTTATTAATTTATTTATTGATTTTCTCTTTAGTTCTTGGTGAAATTACAACTTAAACAGTCTATAATAGAAGATTTTTAATAATCGTACTAAATCCCTCAATAATAATTTCAATAAACTATCTACAATATAATATAGTGATAATTTTGTACTGTCTGCGGCAAGTCCGTTTGGCGCCCGGCCACGTGAGCTAAAATGACGGCATATCAATTGACTGTGCACACGCCACGTCCTGTCTTCTTCTCTCAGAATTGTCTATTTGTGGCCTAGAATAACGTTTGCAGATAAAACTTTCCTTGTACTCATTTACCTGCATCGATCGTCTTCTTGTCGGTGGAAGAAGGCTTAAGATCGAAACATCAAAACTGCAGCTAATAATTTTTCTACTTGAGCAAGATTACGCGTTTAGTAACGTGATCACGAAGTAACGAGCTAGGCAACTTGTACTGCGGTAAACTAAATATAAAAGTCCTGGTCAAAAAGGGCGAAGTAGATGAGACTATAGCAAGGTTGGAGCAGTGAGTTGGGGGTTCAAAGTCCTGGCAAGCTGCAAGTATTCTGCTATGAGTAGGTTAGTCAATGGGCCAAATTTGGTCTAAGCGACGCTGACAGTATGACTTGTTAGATGGGCTGGCCGAGCCCATCTAACAAGTGGGCTGGCCGAGAATATATACGCATGTACCAAAAACAATTAAGCAAGAATGCTGTAGTGTTTAACCAAATAAAGACTGTTCAGGGTTCAGATTGAGAGCTTTAGTATAAAAGTAGAGAATGAGTGAGCCATCCAAAATCAAGGGACACAAACGAGTATTAATGCAAATATCCAATGTTTATTAACGAGCAACTTCAACGTATATAATGAAAAAATTCTAGTCAGTTGACATCTTCGCGTCACGTTGTTTGTACTAACACATGTCGTGGTTTAGTCCTTGTATAAATCGGAATTTATTAAACGAGACAACAGGATTGAACTCAACTCATTTTTGTCGCGTGCGAGAACACAGCCTGCGTCTTGGATCTGCTTAGATCAATTATTGTTGACCCACGCGAAAGAAATTTACATGCAACAACAACAATTTATAAGTAAAACATCAATGAAGTCAATAGCAGCGCTTATTCTACAAGACAAAACACGCTGTAGTCCCAATCGTCAACCCGATCACAAGGATAGTCGAACGTTTCCAAGTAAGAACCTCCCATCCCCAAGCACTTTTCAGACCCTCCATGCGGGTTGTTGTGGTACCACTGAAAGTCATGGTCGCTTGGTAGGACCATGTTTGTGTTGACTGACGAGTAACTACCATCATCCTGACGCTGGAGGTCTACGTAGAACCAACTTTGACGTCTGATGGTCAGTGCCACTCGTTCCTGAATGAAAGCGGGCTGCATGAATAAAATGTATTGTATAGAGAAAATATATAATTTGATCATATAGTCAATAGTAAGTTTTCCCACAAAATGAATAAATAGAATTTCAAAATCGAATTGCTAAAATAATTATATCTTGAATATAGAAGCAAACAATATGTTTTCAAAGAAAAAGAAGATTTGAGTGAAGTTTTCAAGTGTATAACTAAATGCTATTCGTTAATATTGTTCACTACTGGAGAAATTTTAGTTGGTAATCTTACCTTTACGTTACGAGGGTACGTGACGAGTCTGGCGCCCTTGTCAGCACACTCCTTGGACGCTTGTCTGAAATGAGCGTCAACATATGAAAAATAGATTTCAAGCCAAATTAAACTGAACAAATCAAATATCTGCAGGTATTCATTTGGCCATCAAGTCCAATTTTCATTTGCATTAGGTACTCTGTAGAAAGAACGCGCATTTCGCACTCTCGAGCAGTAATTATCATAAACATGTCATAATAATCAACACTAACCTATGATTTATCATAGGCGCATTGTTACATTTTTTTAGCTTCAATGGCTAACCTCTGAAAATTTATTCAGAAACCGAATGCATTATTTTCACTCGTCAGTCGTCAGTTATCAAAAGCTCGTGAGTTCACCTTATATTTGATCGAAAAAAAAATACATTGGCCATACCTCACAAAACAGAAGTTAGACATGAAAAAATTTTCTTATATAACTTACTGCCAAGATAAGTGCAGAGGAGCAGGAATCTCGACCAAGGTTGCATTGTCGTATGTTGTTAGTAGGTATAGGCCTGTTGGACGATCTCCCACTCAGCGCCTGCTTCATCTCGGTCCACCACAAACTTGCATGCCACCGGCTGATCAGATAAATAAACAATAAACTATTCGAATTTTTTATATAGTTGAGTTTCCAGTCAATAATTTTTTACTAAAATACTTTTACATGCAATGGGCCCAATTTAAACCCTCGAACGAAAGCTGTGGGTGTGGTGCCAGAAATTTCGTGAAAGTCGCATGCGCTCCCGATATCATTCTCTAAAGTAAATTCAAAGGTAGATTTTCATGAAAAAGAACAACTCATGTGAACTCACGTTTTCTGTCTCGTAAGTTATTTTATTTTTTTAATTTCCCTCACCTCGAGTGTATCCCAAACGAATCCACCGCATCGAGGGTCGCTGATACACGCTGCACCGCATCTACTGACGTTGGGTACAGAGCCGAGATTCTCAGGACTGAGCAGAGACATCAGAGCCGCAGAGATTCCGGTTATCAGACGGAAACCCGAAGACATGTTGTATTATACAATCGAAATAAGAATACGTTCTCTAAATTTGTATGTATTTTTAAACTTTGGTTTACTTGGACAGATTTTTTTTTCCTTTTTGCAAGTTTGATTGAAGCCCTGAGAATGCTTTCTGTTAATAACTTTTTTGCTCGATTTTTTGGTAATCAGGTGAGTGAAAATTGCTGCTGGTGTTGGCAGGTCGATAAACACATTAGCGAAATGTTTTCAAAATTCTTAAACGTATGACACAAAAGTTCTACAAGAAGCTGCACAGTGAAACTTGAAAATTTGAGTTTTATGCATGAGCAGAAACGTAGGAATATATGAGTGCAATGGGAGAGGGATTATTACAATAATGCGATAAATAATAGTCGATCAGCAATTATAACCCTAATATAGCTGAATTATCCAAATATTGAGACCAAAAATATTAAGAAGTTATGGTAGCTTCCAACACCGAATTAATTAAATTTATGTGCAATGTTAATTTAGGCTTATATATGAAACAAAACTCCACGAACAAGCAATCGACGTAAGGCAGCCCAACCTATGTTGCATGACAACACACACTGACCCTGTCAACGTCTCCACGCGTGCTTTTATTTACAGACGCCTGATGCCGTGTCGGCTGAGTCACAGCGTCAATTCTATGTAAAGGAAATCTTTGCGTTAAGGAAATTTTTGCGTGTGAGGAAGTGCAATTTTTTCCGTGCGTAAGAAAACTCGATGAATATTCAACGAGCTGCGCACAGAACATCTAAAGAAACTATATCAAGTAATTACTCTTTAGAATTAATTAATAATTAATTTAACTCTTGCTGCACTTTACTTTCTGTCGAAGATTGGCTGACACGTTTTGAATATTGAAGCTAGCTGTTGCGGTTGCTAAATAAAATTTTTAATACGAAAAAATTAGCCTACAAAACTAAGCGATGGATCATATCAGTCATGGTCGTCTTGTTGCTGAAGATTGTGTGGTCGTACTTGGTTGTTGGATCAATGAAAAGTTGTTGTTCAATATCTTCAGCAGACAACAAATCGGCCTGAGAGTTGCGATTCGCTGTTAAAACCGTTTAAAAACCAAAAATTAAATTTAAATCGAGAATTTCTTCAGAACTTCTTCTAGAATGTGTTTTTGTTTTATTTTCTATAATGTACCCCGATTTGAATGCTCAATTGTGGAATAACAATGGTTTCTGAAACATTTAGAGACAGCATTTCTTCTCGCTCCGAGTCACCGACATGAGGAACAGCCTCCTTGATAGCATCGTCGACGCTCCGAGTTTCAACGCATCCAAGAACTGACTAGACAAAGCTATGCAGGAGCATATGTTCAGTCTTAAAATGCCTAGCAAATTACGGACCAGGCAATAAGTCCAGACGAAGCTATGCAGGAGCATATGTTCAGTCTTAAAATGCCTAGCACCTTACGGACCAGGCATAAGTCCAACAGCTATCTCAATCAATCGTCAGCTACGGAAAGATCGGGTTCCAAAGGCCGGATCACTTGTGGAATCAAGTCACGAAAAGTACAAGAATCGGCAACAGGCCCTGGGCCTATTTCTACCGTGCCGACACTTCTATTCTATATTATTATAATGCAGTTATCAGAGCTGGGCAGCGCTACTTTCAAATGTAGCGGCGCTACCGCTACCGCTACATGCTCTAAATGTAGCGGGCGCTACCGCTACACCCACTAGATTGTAGCGAGCGCTACCGCTACCGCTACAGTAAAATGTAGCGCCGCTACATTAGCCGCTACAATGGCCAAAATTATTGGAAATCTCTAAATATTTATTGTTCTGCTACTGGGATTTACTCATAAACATTTAATGATAACAAAACATTTTTCAAAACATATCAATGCAACTTTATTGCAATTAACCTAACCGAACTACTAGTTCGGGTTAAATACAGTAAATAAAAGTTACAGTTATTTTTATGTTTTACCTTCCCTACATGGATGTCTACTTTAATCTACCAATCTCAAAAATTATCCACATATACATATAAAAATCAATATTTTATTTGTATATATATGTGGATTATTTTTGAGATTGGTAGATTAAAGTAGACATCCATGTAGGGAAGGTGAAACATAAAAATAAATGTAAGCAAACTGAAACATGAAAAATACCTGTAAGTGGTAACTGGTAACAACTTAGCAAGTAACAACTAACATGCTGACACTAGTAACAGACTGAGGTTGACAACATTACACCGAAATCTTTCGTACAGTTTTATTCTGTAATTTATATTATGTATGTATCGTGCTGGTTTTTGAATAATATATAATACTATTAAGTAAAATCTAAAGACTTTATCTATAAATGTAGCGGTAGCGCTGTAGCGGCAAAACCTCGTATCGCTACTTAAATATGTAGCGGGCGCTACCGCTACCGCTACAATTGCTTAAATGTAGCGCAGCACCGCTCCCGCTACATGTAGCGCGCTACTGCCCACCTCTGCTTGAGGCCCAGCTGGAGATGGGAGCTGGCGTGGACGTGATATACCTGGACTTTGCTAAAACTTTTAACAAAGTTGACCATGGGGTGCTCTTTAGAAGGCTGAGGCTGTTGGGGGTAGGAGGAAGCCTGTTGAGGTGGATCCACAACTTCCTTACAGATAGAGTACAAGCTGTCACAATTGGAAACTCGAAATCGAGAGAAGCGAAGGTGAAAAGCGGAGTTCTGCAGGGTTCAGTGCTGGGACCGATCCTCTTCCTCATCCACATTGCCGACATATACTCGGAACTCACCCACGCATCTACATCGTCATATGTGGACGATACTTGAGTGCTGATGAAGATCACAGATGACCTAGACTGCGGGAGGTTACTGGATGAACTATCGTCAATCTACGATTGGGCCCTAGTGAACAATATGCAGTTCAACGGCACCAAGTTCGAAGTAATGAGATGCAGTGTCCGCGCAGAGATCGAGATGCCACATCACTACTTGGCATCAGATGGCACAGAAATTGAGGAGAAGCAACTAGTTCGAGATCTCGGAGTGTTGATGAGTACTGAAGCCACGTTCGATGCCCATATCGAGGAAATAGTCGCGCGCAGCCGGCAACGGATGGGGTGGATATAGCGGACATTTCGAA